TCTTGAAAATGGCTAGTTTACATGCTGTAAGATTCTGTGACAAAGTGACGGTAACAAAAGGTCGCAAATTTGCCCAGAACTCTGGCTGAATTTAAGGCAGAATAGTTTGAAGTGAGAAAGTTTTTCCAGTTAGTGGTTGGACAGCAGTTTAATGAGCTACATGACCCAAACCGAACAAACCGGCAGAAAACATTTGGCACGTTTCCAGGCTACTAGTCCCTTACTCCCTCAACAAGCTACAATCTTGTTCCAGGTGCTTACTACGGTTGGTACCACCTGTGTTGGCGATAAAACATCATGCGAAGGCGAATTCTACATCTCGTTAGAAGCTCAGATGGCCTTAGAAGTGGCCAGTCCTTCGGATGAACTTCCGAGGGTCAGAAGTGGTGTTGACTGGTGATCATGGAGTGTCACCTGCAAGAACTGGTATGTGACTGCAAGCATACGGAAGATTTAGCATAGCGAGAAGTACCAAGCCCCCCAGTGGATCTGTCAGTGCAGGAAATTAGGAAAAGACGGGACGACTTCGAGTCTTTTCCACATTAAATCTGAGTCATTTTTCACAGGGCACCTAATAGAAATTATTGTTCTTCGGAATTATGTATGGTTTAAACTCCCCTGAACCACAAGATGATCAAGCTGTACTCAATTTCATTACATGCTCATATTCAGCCCTCGAAATTTGTAGTTTCTTATCGGGTGAACGTCTGGATTCAGCAAGGAGACGTTGAAACGGTGGCTGGCATGCCGTTTGAAAGACGTGATACCTTGCAAAGGAGAACAGATGGTTTGAATACGTTGCGTAGGCGCTTTGTTAGTGGACTGTATGGTTGAGGAAAATCACTGCCAGCCGACAAAACTTTGAAAGATAGAATGTTAGTGACGAGATCGTGGTGGAACATTTCATGGTACACTTGACCAACATGTGCCTACTCGCACAACAACTGTCACTACTGCAAAATATCAACGCGAATGAAGTTGGATATTACTATGGAAAAGAGCCAGCAGAATGAGGGGTGGGATCTGGCTATTGCAACAGGAAGCTTTTGGTCATGTACTGCGTAATCATTGGGATCATTAAAGCCTGCATAAGTTACATGTATTCATTCTTCAGGAACTGAGGGATGATTCTAAGTAACACCTCAGTGTCTGTCAGGAAATGCATCTACCTAGTGACAATATTCTTGGAAGGAAATGGTGATATTCTAGTTGGCTGCAAAAGAAAACGATCAAAATCACCTGCTGCTATACGTCTTCCCCAACTGCCTTCAGTCAAACGGAAGAGGCTATGTTCACTCCTGGATAACAGTACCATATAGTCTATGACACCGAGAAACCCCAGCCTGAGAGTAGCAACAGAGTGGTAGCTTCAAGCTTGTCCTTGGGAGAGACCTGACTCTTTGTCTTGGGATATGATTGGGTACGTGGTGCTCTTCATATTTCTATTGGTGAGTGCTTCAAAACTCCCCATATAGTTGCCAAGCGCATTGAGGGTAGATAAGTACGAGCTCTCTATACGCCGATACCTTTTCTTGGCCGAAGAGTATATGCTATTTCAGCGTCAGTTACATAAATGCAACTGTAACGACCAACGTCCAATCACTTTGGTCTAAACGGGTGAAACAGCTCAAGGGGACCAAACTAAAGCTATCCAGACAAGTTCCCGCGTTCTACTGTATAGTTTTGGGACTTTCGTGAGTGACGCAAAGTCAAAGACCGGTTCAACAGTATCAAAACACGATCTGTAGTAAATTGGTGATAGATTTGAGATAAGTCTGTGGCACTATCAAACAGCGACAAGTTATATCAAAATTACAAAAATACCTTAACAGTGCCGTTAGGAAACTATACAGTCCAGAAACGTACTCTGGTAAGAATACGTATTAAACGGTAGAAATTGGCTAACCAAACAGGGTTCTTAAGTACCTGAAAACCAATGGGAATGTTCCCAACAAAATTGGATCAAAACTCTGTCTACAAGAATCAGATCAATCAATAAACGTTTCCACTTGACAGTCAAAAGACAGGTAGTCGAATCACAGAGCAGTCTCAAGCTGAGCCAAAACAAAAATGTCGGGAACAGTAAAACAACGCTATGTTGCCAACAGTACAGCATCTCATAGTAGCAAAGTGAGGCATTCAGGACAGTTCCCAATCAAAGGAAAGACAAATAATGAGCGTCAGGTCAAAGACAAGCAAATGACAAAATAGTATTACATTGGTTAGGGTCAGAAGCATAGTATCCGTAATGGTGGCAAAAATATTCAAATAAATATCACTACTGTCAAATAGGGCGGTCATGAGGGATTCTCAAATCCCTTTTTACGCTACAACAACCCCAAAATAAGCAACTGTGATTCCTCCACCAATAGTTTCACCTGGTTTAAATGAAAAAAGCCGATGAAGTGGCACGAGAACAACCGCGGTGTACAATATTGTAGCTCAGACCCCTGAAAAAGAAGTTCATCAAGTGGTGCCTGACCGTTTGGCGTCAGATGCTAACCGCTCAATTTTTTTTATTTATATACGTCTTATGGGTATGCCGTATACTCTTGAACATGTTTAAAAGGCTTTCAACCAGCCGTTTCCCGAGCTGACAATAAAATGAGAGGAGTGGAGCGTCTTATCTGCTGATGGACAGTGGGGACTGGTGAGGGACATCCATGAGAGGGCCGGTTCTGAAAACGTCTTAGTAGTCGCAACAAAGCCGAGAAAGCTAACCTCTTGGCTGAAACAGGCACCGAAAGCCTTTTGAAAGCCGAGTGGGGAGCATGGCACAACTGGAGGGTCTCGAGAAGAGTCCGATCATAGCACGTGCTTGGTTCCAAGGGATCGATGGGACTTTATGGTGAGGGGGAACAGGAAGTCCTTCTAGACAAATCTTGCCAATAGGTGTGAGATGAACCCTGAAATCCTAAACCGATGCATGGCGGAGATAAGGTCTATCAGCCTGAGAGCTTGCGTTTTAGAAGGCCCCAAAGGAGGTAACCTCTCTGGACAGAAAACCGCCAAGGCCTTTGGGGCCACCTTCAACACACGACTCAGCATCCCATCATCCAACCAAGATTACCAACTGCCTGAGCAGCCCTCAGTACTAGCAAGGTCAGCAAAGCTGCATGGAATCAAGGTAACCTCTGACATAGTCTTCGAAAGACTGTTGGGACGCTGCACAGAAAATCACCGGAAGGCGATGACCTTCGCGCATCTGTGTTGAAACGATGTCGAAGGAGGAAGCAGGCAGCACATTAAATGCTGTCGGCTTGTAGCACCTCTACCAGTGATGCTAAAGCAATGAACAGCCTGGTGGAAGACCATGTCAGAGAGTATTTGAACAAGAGGGTGGCACTAAGTTATGCTGAACATGGTTTTCGAAAGGGCAAGTCCCGCGCCTCAAACCTTCTGGCTCCTGGCGATAACTGTACGGTATGCTTGGACCTGCAAATCCGTGTTCATGTGATTTTCCTGGAGTTTGCCCGACTTGGAGGATACCAGCTAGTGTGTCATAAGGGGTGATTCTAAGGCTGCCGGTATTCTCCCTTCTTGCAAATGACCCTGTGCTGGGTCTCAGCTCCCCGACTTTGCCTTATGCTGACTACGCTGGCTGTAGAGAACTGTGACATTCGAAGCAGGATCAGGTGCACTGAAAAGTGATTCCACATTGCTTGCAGGGCTGGTGAACGGTAACGGACTAGCATTTAACTTAGACAAATCCCAAACCACTTTTCTCCGTAACCCTAGGTCACTAAAGCATCCCACTCTCTCTGTAGGCAGCTGCCCTATACCATGACGGAGAAAGACCTGGGGCTAATACTGGCTGACAAGTTGTACACTTACTACTGACATCCATTGGGCGCCTTCACAGTCCACGCAGTACTGCACTTCATGCGCAGTCAACTGTATGCTCACACCTGGAGCTCCTCCTGAAGCTGTACAAGACCCATGTACGACCTCAGCTAGTGGCCCAGAAGGTCACTGAACCACCATACCACAGGACAGACGTAAACAACCTGCGGGAATTCCAGTGGCGAGAAACAAAGAGTGTTGTAAGCACGCAGCAAAAACTTTATGAGGATAGGCTAAAAGGTCTAGGGCTTCAATCTCTTGGTTGCAATTCGTTGCGTGGCGGCTGGGTAATGGCCTACAAAATTCCAAGCAATTCAAGCCATTGGAATGGTGGAATCCCAACTGGCGGCTACTTTAGCAATCGTCATGGTGACCTGAGGATAATCCCACACCCAAGGCCGAAACTGTGTGCGTTCACACGTTTTATTCTCTATGTGGGTTTGCAGCCAGTGGAACGGATTGCTCGGTGAAATTACAACTGCCTCATCTGTCAACAGCTTCAAGAAGAAGTTGGGCAGTCACGCAGCAATGCGCGATTTGAGCTCATCCGACTAGAATGGGGACTAGGCTGATAAAACCTTCTAATTCCACACAACCCAGAGCAGTCAACCCTACGCTGAATCTTTCGTACCGCCGAAATAATTCCGAACCTGACGTAACCTTATACTTCCCTGCCAGGCGTCCACTCCAGTCATATTGCCCCCCAATAACATTACAATATCTATTTCCATGACCCGCCCCAGAATCTTATTTGCTCTTTTGCTTCCTTCTGACTCCACAATCTCACTCCATTCACTGAGATTCTCTCTGACGCTGTCATATCCCTCAAATTTACCTAGGTTTATCCTCTGCCTCTGTTCTGCTTCCTTTTCCCTTGGCTTTCCTTCGTGCTTCTCCCTTGATTTCACCGGACTTATTTTCTGCCTCCTTTTTACAGCCAGTCCGATTAACTGCCTGGTGAAACGGCTAACCAGAGCTACGGCAGTTGCGTGGGTAGACCTACTGAACTATAATCCACTAAAGACCTGGAGCTGTTCCGCAAGAACTATACACCAGCGCGAAGAAATCAGTTGGTTTACATTAGTTAGTAGAAAGATATTGAATACTGGGTCCCAAGCTGTTAATTGTACATTTAGTCGTAACGCGTCAGCTTAAAAATGAGTTGTACCTGGAGCAATGTGAGTTAACAGGGGATGCTCAAGTTTTTTCGTCATATTTGTTTGTTGAATATAGATCCTGACAAGTCAGAACTTCAGCATATATTTTCCAAGAAGTGAGCTTGTTATGTTTCAGGAAATAATGTTTAGGGTCGCTTTTCGAATTCAGCTAATATCGATGCTCATTCTACGATGTATATCAAAATATTAAGATAATTAATAGTTACCCATAGCCCAGTTAATATTCTCAGGGTACAACTCGCAGGGCCGTGAAACAGAAGTAAATTTGAAGGCAGAGGTAAAACATAAGGTTCTGCAGTATAGCCTAGGCTATATTGCTTTCGTCTGGCCTCTCGTTCTTTCTCTTGACACTGTGTCTAGCTACTTATTTGCTTTCATTTCTGCCCTGTGTTGGTTCGTTTGGTCTCGTTTGGCCTCAATTTCCCCAAGCGTTTTGAATGAGTAGCCTGAATATATGGTCCCACAAATCTAAGGTAGAAGCTCCAATAATAGAACATGACCAAACCGATTTTTCATTGTTTTGTGGCGTATTCAGGAGAAACTAAGTAAAAACCATGTGGGCGTTCGGAAGTGCATGCTTTTTCATACGACACATTAAGATAAACTCATGATGATGTAAGTACCTTTCATTCCTAATTTATCTTCACCAATCAGTAGTGATCAAATATCGAATGGCAATCCTCCACATAGATAATGCAACCCTTTAATTGCATATGTATGCCAGAATGTGCACTTACAGGATTGTTTTGATGGGTTGTAGTAGTAAACTATAGTTAACACCTGAATAAACTTACTAAAATATTTTGATAGCGTCAACCCATTTCTTCACTCAAGTTGTTGATTAACACATGCTTGGAAGTAGTGTATCAAGGGGTGGAAAAAGTCGTCTATTGAATATTTTAAGTGATCTGGTTTGAAGCACGTCATTTCATATTCACTTTCTACATGCTCTGAAGCAACTCCAGATCTTGTGTTTGATATATGGAGGAAAAGTAGCGGATGTTGGACGAAGTTTTCTAAGGATTTCAAGGACACAACGAAATGTATTATGCGTAGCTAATAAATTAAAAGCCATTTTATGATTAAAAACAGTAATTAGCCTGTAATGTACCGTCCTGACAACAAAATACAATTAGGACCAAAGTAAATAGATTAACTGAATATTAACTAAACAAACTTGTAGCTTGGCTCCAGATCTCAGTGTTTTAGGTTTTGTTTCAACGGGTATGTATCTGAGAAGCTGATTGTTACGGTAAGGAAAAAAGCGTGAGTCTAACCTTTTCCCTATCTACATGACCACAGCCCTTGTGGCGTGAGTTTTTGTTTAGTCACTCCTCACCCAATACAATTTGTGCGACGTACGTATATATGTGTACTTAAAATATCTTTAAGAGCCGTTGAGCGGTAATTTACCATGAATTTCGTTTTTTAGACCATGTGTGGAAAAGCCTCATGGAGTTTTATATTTGGGCTTGCTTAATTTGCAAATCTATTGCTGAAAAATTACAGATACATCGATTACATGGCTATGGCTGTCTTCTCATAAGGAGTATAAGACAAACAAACCAACGTAAAACCTGATATGGAAGTGCATCAGTTTAAGTCACCATACTTCACAGCGATCTATAGGACTTATTCTTAAAGTGGATGTTTAAAACTATGCGTCTGTGATAAACGTTTTCTGTAGTCTTAACATTTTACCAGATATAGGTAGGAGTTGCACCTTGTTGGAACCTAAGGACCACAACCACTTTCAAGCTATCCCCGTCACTACTGGCAGTAAGCAATTCCATATCTGAATTAAAGAATTCAGTATTCAAACGTGAAGTTTAACCTAATCACTTTTTTGTCGGCAAAATATAAACAAAAGGAGTATTGGCACATTTTTGCAATATATTTGTTGCTGTTTCTGTGTTGCATCCTGCAACCGTTCTTAATCAGAACCTTACTGGTGAGCCTGTGTGTATGTTAATGCAACATATCCCAATGCAAACGTAACTATCGCATGCGTGTCAGATTTATCACTTCCAAACCGTCATTATACAACTCATTAAACATTTGTGCTAAGATGTTTGATTAGAATTGTGTTGATAGTATAGAGTAGTAATTGGCAGTAAATACCTGAATTTATAATATCTTAATACTACTAACCTGTATTCTGCGACTACCTTATTAATTGCCATGTGCTACATAAAGGTTGCCAGTACTTCTCATCGTATATCTTAATAAATAGCTTGTTTAACCACTTTATTTGTTCTTGCCGTTTTCCGGTAGGACACAAAGGTCATATCTAACACCAATATATTTCAAATGACATTTCGTTAATTTGATAAGGTTATTTCAAACCTGAAATAATGCTGAATAGTAGGACTTTACTGTTCGCCACCAGAATTCTTCAAAAATGTAGGTAAAAAATTACTCAAAGTAACAGAAGTACCAAGTAATGTATGTTAATCATAGAAGGTTTTATCAGAGTGATCTAGATCGTTAATTGTTCATTAAACATGAGAGAAGTTTTCACAGGAAAACGATATAGGAACCAGTGTGATTGACATCGTGTCCAACATCCTAGGGCTCGCAGTTATGTGGCGCCTAGCCGGCACTCAGGAACTACAAAATTCAGAAAACCAGCAAAGTCTCAGACCTGGACGGGAGCGCATTGATCAAATCACCCTTCGAAAAGTTTTGGAACGCAAGCGTACTTACCAGCGGTTGGTATTTTCCATATTTCTTGACCTGTATGTAGCACTCAAATATGTCGACTAAGAGGTGTCGTGACAGCGTCTGACTATGCAGAAAGTACGAAGCAAGTATATGGTGCTAGTTATAGCCCTTCAGGATGGGGTGTTGTGATAGTGTGCGTTGATCACTTCGTCTACTTAGGAGGTTTCATCAGCCAAAATGGATTAGTTGCTCGCGAAATCTCGTCTCCGATATAAAAAAACCTTGATATTTATCCACTTACGCCATGTTGCGCCAACAATATATCTGGCTGCCTACTGAAGGACAAATATGCTGCTCTGCAGTCTGCATTAGTTAATAAAATTTATCTGAGCCATGTAGAAAGGTGTTAACTGCCGGCTTGGGATCCTCGAGATAATGGAAATCAGTGGTTGAAGACCTTATGATGTTACTTATAATTGAGTGCAGTAGCATCTGTGTATGCACTCTTCTTCATCGTTTCTGTTTGGGGAACCGGGTACTAAAATAAGCCCTTGCATTCAGTTTAACTCATGGCTTGGCGCATAAAACTAATAGTGGTTGACTGAGTTACACTGATCACTATTCGGATAATTGAACGTATGTTACAGACCAGACATCATTTTTGCTTGACATTAGGACGTTTCTTATGTCTAAGACCTATACATATCATGTGTAATTTTTTGGTTTTTCACTAATAGTTTGAAGAACACCTTCGGAAATACTTATCAAACAATGATGAGCAAATTGTTGAAATATTGAAAAGAAAGTTTTTCCAGACGACACATGAATTTCAGAAAACGGAAGCCTCCAAGACAGTACTAGATAAATGTATTGCCGAAGCTGCATCGAATCCAGACAGAATATATGTCATTCTGAATGACTTGAAAGCCACCTTCAAGCTAAATGCACAGAAAACTGACAAAAAGGTATTTTGACCACTATTATTATTATTTGTCTCAAATATAGCACCATCCAGGTGTCACTAAACGTCGTGTAGAAATTAAGACACTACATCACGGTGAGTTTTTTTTGTGAGTGATTATTAGTACCAGTTGTCTGTGCTCAAAATTGGTTTTACTTTTTGTTTTTGTTCTCAGTGATTGGAAACAGTAATTATTTAAACTTTGTACTAATGCTCTAATGATTTCAGTTTTCTGGTGAGAAAAACATATCTTCGTGTGTGGTTCGTAGCTGGTATATCTATTGAAACTATCAGAAAGACTATCAGGCTAGTTGTTCGACAACAGGACGAGGATATATTTGACTGGTCATCAGTGTCTATATAAGTGCATAATCTACAGTGTATAATGTAATGAGCAGCTTATCAGAATGAAACTATTGTATGAGAGCACTACGTTACATCTTCAGCCTAGGTTGGTTCTCCTAATGTTAATGTACTGAGTATTAGTTGGCATAAAGCTTGAGCACTAGTGAAATCCTTTTTTTAGTTCTCATTGTTATTGGTATATGGTTAATAGATGCAGCTATAGTTAACCCCGGATATTTTGTTTTGGCTATGCTACATCTCTAGAGTCGTTATTATCCTCATTGGTTAGCAGTAAACCAGTTTGTTGGTGATGAAATGTTCAAAAACTGGTTTTATTAGCATGTAACTTTACCACTCTATGGCCAACTGTCAATTACATCTAGTCACTATCAACAGGAGAAGATTGAAATAGGATGAAAACATGTGATATTACTTACAGTAAGGTTGAATATTGGTAATACGCTCCTTTTGGTCTAAATGCAAGAATTGTAAGGTGGGGATGGGGTGGTAGCGTGCAACCATTACTAGTTTCTTGGCCTAGCACTTTCCTGAGTGTACTATTGGACATTTTTACCTCTGTTTACATCATTTCTGTGGTAAGTGTCGTATTTAAGGTCAGATGAAGAGATTGTTCCAAATATCTTGTGGCACTGACTGAATATTGCTCACTGGTTTAAGAGGATGATCCATTTGTAAAGTAATTGCAAATTGCACGGTCCACATTGACATTTCTTATAGTTGAGTAGTTATTCGGGTGCCCAACTTTTGAGTCAACAGGGTTTCCGTTGGAAACCACTTCACAACCGAGGTTACAAGGTGTGATCTCTGACACTAGTGTCATGAACTCAACGGAATATAATGCTGAACAACATGAGTATTTAGAAAGCACTAATGTCCGAAACCTGTAGCCCAGTATTTAGATCAGTCTAATCTAGTTAGTAAAATCTACAGATAGGCCTAGTTTAGGTCACTAACAATGAAAGCCAGCTATATTAGTGTTTTGTCCAGATCAGGAAAAAGTAGTTAGGCATGTAAATCTATAATTATCATTTTGACTATCTGAGACAGCCTTAGTTTGGCAGACTACTATTGATACTGCGTGGTGATTGAAGATGAAATGAAAATTGGGTCACGGTGGGGTTCGACTTGGCAACTACCAGGTTCCCGGTCCGACGCTCTATCAACTGAGCTACGAGGGTTGCTTGATTGAGTCCCGCCGCGGCCGATTTTCATTTCACCTTCAATTACCACCCAGTATCAAAACCATATTTGTTGTGACTTTCCCTTTTTTTCACTTTACATTTTTGATTTAGCAAGTTCACATACCAAACCACAGGATTCTTCCGATAGTTGTACAGATCACACCTCACCAAAACATTCATCTCTACCTTTGAACAGTGTTGATGTTGGTAATGATGACGATGATGTGATAATCGTAGACTCGCCAGAATCCCCAGCCACTGTGCAACCACCCTCAAAGGTTGATCAACTTTCTCATCAACCAAAGAGTCCAGCAACTCCGTCAATAAATGAAAAACAAAGCAGTAAATCCACTGATGGAAATGATACAGATAGTAGTGATGTTCAAAATGATCATAGATACAGAATGATAGCTCGTCTAGAACACCTCCTTGTCGTAAGTGTTTTTTGTAGCTACTCTTATTGTTACTCGATCGATGATTTCATCCGATATGAGTTTAGACAGGTTTGTTCAAATACTTAAGTAACAGGGCAAAAAGATTGATTAGTAAGGCAGAAAATCTATGTTAAGAAGTGAAACATATGAAGGAGGTTATATTACTTAACAACTATCTCCGTGAGTCTATCCAGAAATACCTAAGAAGTAGTAAGGAAAGCACTACGAATAATAAAATCATACAGATAAAAACAGCGTTAATAATAAAACCAAGAAAACTGATTTCAAGATCACTGGAGTTTTAGCGTACACAGAAGAAACATCAGAAGTCCTATGGAGGATTTCTAATAAGACTGGGATTAGAGTGGCTCACTTAGACTCAAACTTCATCAGTTAAAGGATACTATCGAACTTATGAAACGAAACAGTCTGGCCTTTCAAATTCTATTTAATGACTGTGAGGTCAAACTAGCTGACTGGCTACCAAACTAAAACTACAGGCAATATTGAGGCATTCGTGCACGTGCCTGTATGCCAGTAGAGACTAACCGATTGGATTCAATCCACAATCAACATAAAAACTATACCAGTCACACAAGAAGTGGCTATCGTGACTTAGCGACCTAGTGGGTAATGTTCTAGTGTGTGAAGCGATCGGCCGTGAGTTCGAGTCCTTTCGACAACAAAATCACTCACTGTGAGGCAGTTACATCCAGCTGATGCGTCTCAAACAAGACGAAATGCGCGTCCTAAATTCCACTACTAGCCACTATCCATCATTGCTATTAAACTAAAAGTGCAGGCAATATTGAGGCATCCACATAAGAGCCCATATTACCAATAAAGACCGATCAGTTCGGTCCAATCAACGACGGAAGTTTATAAACAGTGCCATAAAGTTATAATCCCTAATAAGATAAGAAGTCTGTGAAGATGCTTAGCTATAGTCATGCCTACTGTCATACAATAGAATGGGTTTGGTTAACAATTTAAAAAAAGTAACTGGAGTAGGTTAAGAGAGACATTGATAACAAGCTGTGTTTATCAAACGGAGACCTGATAAATGTAATAGAGGTGACGCAACACCGATTCTGGATATGTGGAAAATTTCCCTACTAATTAAATCAAAGAATGAAAAAAAAACACAAAAGAACTTTTAAATTAGACCAAGTAGTTGTATGGTTATCTTAACTTGATTATGGGCAATAAATTCTACTCGAAACGTAATCAGTAACTAATACTGTTTCATTATGTGATACATATTAAAAATTGGACTGTTATGAAATTATGCTCTATCACAGTACCCGAAATTTATTCCCATCTTCATTGTGGTTCACATCATCAGTTTGGTATGTATGCAGGGTTTCGTTTTTTGACTGTAATTGTCTAAAGATGGATACAAAGGTTCGGTTGGCTTTTGCCAACTTACGCCACCTGTGGCGCCGCCGTGATATCCGATTGTCTATTAAGGGTCGCGTGTACTGCACAGCAGTCCGGTCTGCTCTACTATATGGCTGTGAAACATGGCCAGTGAAGGTGGAAAACATGAGAAGGCTTCAGGTGTTTGACCACCGTTGCCTTCGTAGTATAGACCGTATTTCGTGGTGTCACCACGTGAGTAATGCAGGAGTCAGATGTAAAGTTTTAGGGAGAAGAGGTAAGTCAGTTGACCCGATTGTGAGCCTTCATCGACTCAGGTGGCTGGGTGGGATATGTGTTACGTGTACCTAGTCGCCGATTGCCTCGTCACACAATGTTGTCTGAAGTCGGTCCTGGCTGGAAAAAGGCCCGAGGTTGCCAGACTAAAACATGGCATCGATGTATGAAGTCTTTGACTGTTGGTTTGAGTCATGTAGGGCGATGCAGAGTGGGTGGTTGGGGTCCGCATGACAAGAACTAGTGGTTGGAGACTGACTCTAGGAGATATGGCTCAGAACCGATGTCAGTGGCGCAAATGTATACATACATTATCCTCATCTTAACGGCTCTATACTGAATCTCACCAATTTCTCATTTTTCGTTTCTCTCTTTTCGTACTTTATTTTCCTTTTGACCGAATTTTATTATCTTCATCTTGCGCCTCACTACCTTTTTACTTGATGTACTGGTATAAGGTGTGGCAACTCGGACTGTTACGTACTAACACCTGGTCCTAGGTTGATCATGATGATGATGATGAAAGACGCCATATTTTGTGATGTTAGTGGTTGTTAATCAATGTATACACTTATGTTGACCATAAGGTATGGCGTAAATTCTACTTTAGATTTCACTCTATTGAGCTTTGATTCATATTTTCAAGTTAGAGGTCCCGGATGTGATCCGTAAGACAGCCATGTGGCTGGTTTGGGCATCTGACTAACTAAATTACTAACCGGTGAACTACTGTGATAGGTAGAAAAATGATGACTTTAGTGTCAATAATTATCTTTATTTACCGTTAAACTGATCATTAGTCTGTTTTTTCTAGTTGTACAATCTCTCCAATTACTTTCGTTTATTCAGTTTGTAACATTGTTCTCTATTTTTATCCCATTGAGTTAATTATTGCCAATAGAACTTTGGTTTGTTTTGAAATGATTGAACTACATTGAGTTGAGTCTCTTGAACTCCTTTCGAATTTATGTGTTATTGAGAATTTCTACATTCCGGTATTTGCTTACCTCTATTGTTGTCTGTAATTTGTTGTAAGGTTAGTGAAAAATACATGTCCATAGTTGTGTGAAAATACTGTTTGATATACTTAAAACTGAATGAACCCATGGCCCGGTATGCATTATTCACAACACCATCTTGTCAGATACTCAATATTCTCTGATATACATATGTGATTTTATGCCTGTAGATGCTGATATGTATCCGATATGAGGATATTCGGTGATTTAATGTTCAACCACTGCTATCACAGGACTATTATATGTATTTGGTGTTCATACTGAACATGGAGATACTGTATTTTCTGCAGTGAGACAGAAAATCAACGTAGTACCTCGCACACAAGTGCATCAGCTCAAGTTGCTCCATCTCAAAGTAGTACACAAATAGTAGGTGGATAGAAAAAGACTGACATCAAAGTAGATGAAGTAGTGTAAGAGAATAAGTGATTTGAAGATAACGGTTAGTCGAAATATCCAAGCTTTAGAAAATGTCAGTGCGATTGGTTTCCAGTGGTATCACCAAGAGTTCTCACCTACTGATTCCTATCGTCTCGTGGACCCCAACCAGGCAGTCCACATCTTCCTACACCAATCAGACAAACAGTAAGAGACTTCACCGATTCGTGTCACATCTTGGTCTGGCCCCTCTGAACACTCTTACTAAACTAATTCAACTTCCCCTAGTGTGTCATGTTAAGGTTGGTAGTCGATTGACATGCTCAGTCATGTCCAGATCACCTCATTCAATGAAGCTTCATTACCTTATCAATCGACTTGACTGTTTTGGCTAGTACCCTTCGCCTGACCTCATCGCTGGTTACACAGTGATTCCACCAAACGCGAGCAGTGCTACGATGACATCTGTGATCAAAAGGACAGAACGAACTGCAGCTCAGTATACTCGTACCTGAGCTGAAATGTCATCAGCAACCGGCTTATACGAGTTGATCAACTTCACAAGTTGAGTGATCGACACATTCTGCCACTTCGATCCATATCCTAAAAGTGAGAGTGGTTGCAGAGCATTCGTGAAACATTATCTTACGTCTTACAGGTGCAGCGAAAAGCATGCCAAACTTACTCATATCTGATCAACGACCTTTTATCCCTCTAAGCAAAATTTGTTGAAATCAAGACCTAATAGAAAAATAGGAGAGATATCCAGTGTGTGACATGTTATTGTATAATGAAGGATGGTTATATCAATGTAACAACTGTTGGTGCTTCACGTTTCTATAGATTATTCCGAAAAACCCTAATTCTCAGTGATTCTGTGGTCTAAAATTGAAGGTAATGTTGACTCTCTTGCTGTCTAAAATATCCCAAGGAAGATTTTTAAAATTTCCAGCCAACCTAATTCAAATCAGGTTTTGTGTTGTGTATATAAACGAAGACAATGATAATGGTATGTGGTCTGAAAAATAATAAAATGTAAGCTGCACAAAAACACTTTAGACTAGAAGAATTATCTAATTTTCCATAAAAGTTCACGGTGTAAATCTGGGCAAGCAAGACATAAACCTTCAGATAATGAGCGTGGCTTATACTCCCAGTACACCTTCTAGCGTATCGCGTTTACTAGGATCGTTACCTATAACCTTTAGTGAACTTGATTAGTAGTTAACCTTAAGCTTCCATACATCGTTTAGAACAATACTGTTTTACAGTCAATGAGGCGCTATATTTTATCAACTCGGAATAATTCCCACAACTTAAGCTTTTTAGCTGCTGTTTTTAATAGCTGAATAGATCAGCGATTGTCGGTTTATGTTTTCGGTAAGAATTCTTTGATATTATCTATGGTTATCTTTGGCAGTAGTCTGTTTCGTTGTATTTAAGGGTCACTTCAACGGGATGTGCATGTATTTCAGGAGTCTGATGCTTACATAGTGAGAACATGACTACAAGCAACATCATAGCATAATTATAATGTTTATATATTAACACGGGTTGACCAATTAAATGTCTTGGCATTTTGAGCAGCAAGCTCTGGTTATGGATCTCAGTGTGTGCAGTAAAATATATGAAAGCACACACGTTAGATGAACCATGTATGCGGCGAAATAGAAGCTCAGTATTCCATAATTAATTACTACTGAACATAATTAAAAACACATAAATAATTCTACATTTTTTAAACCAATTTTTCAACCTCCATTCTAGCGTCTATCTCAGTGTATTCGAGAACTTGAAGAAAAAGAACTGGATTTCAATGAATTAGATTCATCCAATTCTGCATATTTGAAAGTAGATATTCTAAAGCGTCAGTATTTAAAAGCATGGCGTCGTCTTTGTGAAATACGTAATGTTGCTCGAATATCTGGGAGAATATTACGCCGAAAGTTTACTTACAGTGGTAAGCTTTTATGTTTAATTCTGACCAATTTACTGTTTATTGAACTGATTTGGAAAAGGTTGACTTGAATATCAGTTATTCAGATCTTTTTTGTTTTGTTTAGAAAACAGATTGATGCAATGCGATTGGTGTGCTAGTGTTTATTTGACTTAGATTGACTAAGTCCAACGCAAATCATTCCTTTTAGGTAATCTAATCGACAGACTAAGACACATTCTACTACCTTGCACACATACACGCAGTAGGCAATGAACCATACATGTTTTGTGAGAGATAGTGATACTGCCTGGCTGCCCAGACCTCGTTGGTAAGCGGAGCCGGCGCTCGAACCCGCGACCCAATGGTCTCTAGTCATCTCCTTAAACCACTGAGCCACAGATCCTCTAAGATAATCAGTCTGTCAAGACAAATGATCCTAACCAATCATATCTTGCCTTCATCTTAGGCATTATATCACATTTTGTTACTTACTTTAATCTCCTTTCCTTGTACTGTTTTACTTTCTATGCCTTTAGAATGTATTATTTCTATTCCTTTATTGTTCATCATGTTGCCTTGATGTGCTGTTTCTGCTGGCGTGGATTGTCACAGGTTGATTCGTCATGTAATATTACCCAGTTCCATGTTGAATTTAACTGAATGACTGATAGATAATCTTTTATACTAGGTGATGATTGAAGGTGAAATGGAAAAAAGGTGAAACCGCTGCCGGATTCGAGCCAGTGACCACCGAGTTTCTCGCCCGATGCTTTACTAACTGAGCTAAGAGGTCTGATTACTGACTAGATTTTTATTTCACTTCAATCACCAAGGGTTTTACCCAACTACCATGTGAATTCGTGACGCTTTACTACCGTTTGATAGTATTCACACTGACTAGCTGGTCAGGACTTCTCATCTCAATCGAAATGTAACTGAATTAGATAGGGGGTGGAGCATCATATTGTGATTCTCATTTTGACTATCTGAGATAGTTGTGGTTTGACAAACTAGTATTTATACACCCAAGTGGTAGTAACGCGACAGGAATTCACATGATAGTCGGGCAAAACCTTTGGTAATTGTAGTGAAATAATCTGGTCAGCAGTTGCACCTCGCAGCTCAGTCGGTGAAGCATCGGACCCAATTGTCGCTGGTTCGAATCCGGCTGCGATCCAAATTTTCACTTCACCTTCAACCATCACCGGGTATTAATACTAGTCTGCCAAACTACAGCTATCTCAGATAGTCAAAATGATAAAGTAATCTTTTGACTGTTCACCTGCGTAAAGATGTTGATATATTTTTCTTTCCTTATTGAAGTTACATTGATCATACCTGTACTGTAAACGTCAACTTGATTCTACTAGTGGATACGATTTCTTTTTAACTATCTGTTGAGAATTATTGTACATGTATAGTTTGAAGAATTTGTTTACAATGTTTAGTGTTTGAGAGTGATGGTTATCAGTAGGATTAAGGGTAGACAAGTGAACATAAACTGCAAAAGATTCTGCATAACTGTGTTACTACATTTCATATCAATCACATCGAGGCGAGAATCAACGACTGGAAGGATAAAGAGACAAGAATAATAGCAATATTATCAATAACTATTAAAAGTGAGGAAAATAAAGTGAAAAAGATGTAAAAAGTAAACGTATGATATTACTATTTCAATGAAAAAGAATCTTCAATTGTTGATTTCAGTCGTCTCATGAACCCTAACCGAAATGCCTACATGATGGTCATGGCAAAGATAAAGGTTGGACTTACCTTTTTTGCATGCATAACGCTCATTTGAACTTCTGAATGGCTAGTGCTTCAGCTATAGACAGATGCTTTGATTTTACTCCCTTCGAGTGGTTTGATTGAACCTTGTGGAGAATTTTGAATGAGCCTACACCTTTTCACACCTAAGTACTTCATGGATCAGTGATATGTTGTAGCTTGATCATTCATCTTTTTTTTTGTTTTTGTTATCCCATCGTACTTCACTTAACGTCATGCTTAAAATTAAGGCCTTTCACTACTTTTTACCTGTTGTTTGGTATTTCAACTTGTATCTCAGTGAATTATTAGCACTAATCACAACTTTAGATGCTAAAATGTTATGTACTCAAATATTGAGAAGTCAAAACTATCTCTTTTAATGTATAGCCTAGGTTTTGTAGGTTGTATTGTTTTATTGTTCACTTAGAGCAACTGTGTACTGTACATAAATAGGCATAAGTAACTGATTGAATTAGTAAAATATTATACAGAATGGCGGCGAATAGCAATGATATTTAGTGTTTATCATTCATCTACAAATCTCATTTGGTATCAGTAGTTAGTGGATTTATCGAAGCAGTAAGTTAACGAGATACGATTTCTCTTCCTCTTTTAGTCATTCCCTTTGAAATTACTTAGAATATAGTTCAAATGTTACCGTTTCTGTTTGCTTTATAATATTACTAAACATCGATTTACCAATTTTTTTTCTTCTTGCATTCATAGGATGTCAATATCCAAAAGTGAATGAGAAAATTGAGGAGATTGTAAATAAGAAGAAATTATTTCCTGATTTTTCTGATGTGTATCAGATAGTCTCATCTGTAAACAAAGAAGAGAATTTAAAGTTAACGTAAGTGAATAGTTCTGAAAGGTTGTTTATTGATACGTGTAATTCTTCTTTGTTATACTGGGTTGAATTGCTCGACAGCTGTTGGTAAATGAGCTCCTATGCAGATGACTTGGTACTGCTTGGATATTCATTGTATTATGGTCTATTTGATGGCTAGCAGTGGAATCCAGGACGCTTGTTTCATCATACTTGGGACTTGTCAGCTGGGATGTACGTGCACCTTAGTGAGTGATGTTCTTCCCACTGAGATTTGAACTCAGTACCCATCGCTTCAAACGCTAAAGCGTTGTCCACTGGGGCACAAGAGCCACCACTTGTGCAATGGATATCAGTGGTCTGGTCAGTGTAGCAAGCTGCAGACTTCCTGGGTAGAAACAATTCTTGAATTGGTGGATAAATATTTTGCTTGAAATAGCTAGAAGTCTATCACAGTGATGCACATTTATTCACTCCTCCTCGTCTGAAGACTATGAATATTTTAATAATATTCACCTCATATTCTTTTTATCTACTTTGGTCGAGTGGGATAGCTTGGACATGTACTGCGCATGCCGAACCACTGCCTACCTCGACGTGGCATGCTACGGGAAGCTGGATTAGTTTGGAAGAGGGTTCAGAGTGATCACACCGAGACGTGGTACCATTCCATGAAGTCCCTGAATGATGGTTTGAGTCGTGTTGGGAGATGTAGACTGCTAGGCTGGGGTCCACGAGACGAAAGGAATCTGTAGTTATGAGCTCTTGATGACATGGTTGAAATTCGATCGCAGTGATGCAGGTGTATTCACTCATTGATATCTTCGAAAGCTTAGATATTTGGACTAACTGTTGTCTCCAAATGGTCTATTCTCTCACACAAATTTGTGTACTTTGGTATCAGTCTTATTCTATCCGCCTTTTCTTTGTGTACTACTGTGAATTGTGATAACTTGAGCTGATACACTTGTATGCCCGGTTTTATGTTGATTCTGTCAATCAGTGTCTACTTTGGTATCATTCTAATTCTGTGCATTTTCACTTTCTGGACTGTTCTGAGGTACGACAACTTAGACTGTTGTTCAAATGTACCGCCAAAGTGATAATGACTGTAGGTAACAATGAAGATAATAGTAGTAAAATTAGGGATGTTTATAGCTGTAAGAAAAGTAACTGTGGTTGGGAAATAAAAATCAAACTTCACTGACGCTCATTCAGTAGGCAATTAACTTCATCTAACTGCTCAGACTTCGAACCCTGGTAGGTGGAGGTAGTCTTGAATGTGTGATCCATTGGTTTAAACCAATTAGCCACAGCTTCACAATAGTAAGTGCACTATTAAACCGGCGATGTCACATGAATGATGCCAAGTGCTTTGCGCATTATGACTGTATTTATACCAGAGAATGTGTTATTTATCAATTATTGGAGTACTGTATATCGGTCATTTGATTTTGATTGCTTCTAACAACACTTATATAGGTGTTTTGAGAAGGGAGAAAAAGTCCTTCTTGAGATTCTACACCACTGGTGGTCACATTGATTTCTGTAACTCTTAATTAATAAATCAAATTAATGTGTGCGAAAATTTCCGCATTTAATTTCCATATACTTTTCCTTAACTGGAGGAACCTGTCACTCAAGTTGCGGATAGTTGTATTATTATTATTTGTCCCTAGCATTCCTAATGGAACATAGGGATTCAGTAACACGTCTCTAGTGCAATCTCTTCTCTACAAACTTTTGGACGTGGCTCCACGAAAGCCCAGAAGCTCTCATTTCTTCCTCACACCATCTCCTCCATGTCACCCTCACCTCGGCCGCCCAACTCATCGCTTCCCATCTGGGTTCCACTCGAGTGTCTGACGCGTGATGTCCCCAGTCGGTCTTCTCAGTGTATGCCCAATCCATCTCCACTTCCTTCCACTGCATATTTGTTGAGCGATAGGTGCTTGGTTAGCTCGTTCCCACAGTTCCTCGTTGCTTATTCTTTCTGGTTATCTGAGCTTCAGTAACAAGCCAGCGTAGGCGGCAGTTGTTGATGAATGTGTATAGTTTGTAGGAAATCCCTTTCGTAAGACGCCAAGTCTCTGAACCATACAGAAGCACTGATTTGACTAGATTGGTGTTGAAAATCCGGATCTTGTTCCACATGCTGAGTGCAGTGCAGAAGATCTCTACACTGGTTTCAGGCTAATCAACACAGACCTGTCTTGCTTTTCCGATCCTAGCTGGCTTTGACGTCCTCATCTGTGCCTGTGCTGCCTGTAGTTGAAACAGTGCTGTCTAGATAGGTGAAGGAGGTTACTTCCTTTAAGTTTCTCCCATTGATGGCGATTGGAGTTTGTTGTTGTTGTTGTTGGTGGTGGTGTTGGCTGGGTATCTTCGTCACCTGTCTTCTCTATATGCACTTGAAGTGAGTCCCGTCTTCGCTGCCCTACCTCACCTCTTCTGTCAACTTGTTAGTTTTCGCCTGTAGATCTTGAAGTTTGTGTGACATAAGACATAAGTCATCGGTGAAATCCAAATCTTCTGGGTTCTTTTCCGCAGTCCAGCGTATTCCCCCCCTTATCGCTCCTCACTGTTTGTTGCATGATCCAGTCCCGTCCACTGCAATCAGGAATATCATGGGTGATAGTAGATAGCCTTGTCTTGTTTTACCCCTGTCTTCACTTAAAAAGCATTACTGAGCTGAACTTTCCATTGTGAATTACTCTGTATGTGGCGTCTTCATATAGTTGTTGAATGAGATTGATAAAGGTTTGTGGCACTAAAACTGTAGTGTTGAAGCAGCACCTGCCAAATTACTTGCCGTTCGACGCTGTCGAAGGCCTGTAGAAAGTCGATGAAGTTGAGGTAGTGGGTTGACTGCCATTCTATACTCTATTCTATGATGATTCGTAGCTTAGCATTGCAATTTGATCCGCACATGATTTGTGTTTCCTGAAGCCAGCCAGCCTGTTCCGGTCGTAGTTCTGAATCTAGTGCACCCTTTGGTTTCTCTAGGATGATGCGGCATAATATTTTGCTTGTTTTGGGTGGACAGGAGCATGATTCCGCGCCAGTTCTTGCAAAGGCTTAGGTCACCCTTCTTTGGGAGTTTGACAAGGTAGCCCTTCTTCCAATGAATCTGCAGGTACCTTCATTTGCTTCCAGACCTTCTGCAATAGTGGTGTGGTGTGAGCATATCCGGTGTTGTCTCTGCATCTGTTCTCAGTGCTTCTGGTGGGATTCCATCTGTTTTTGCTGCTTTCCCGCATTTCAGTAGCTTTATGGCGCTCAAGACTTCGACTTTTGTTGGAGGGTTTTTGTTCACTTGTAGTTCTGTGGCTGCAGGTGGTATTTCTGGACGAAGTGTAGGTGGTGGTCGATTGAAGAGCTTTTTGAAGTGGTCAGCCCATCATTTCCTTTGTTTCTCTTCTTTCGTAATTAAATTTCCGTCATCATCTTTTATTGGTTTCATCTGTGTTGATCTTTTCCCTGCCAGATAGTGACCTGGTTATTCGATACAGTGTTGTCAGGTCTCTCCTACCTGCAGCCCGTTCTGCTTCACTTGCCAGCGTCATGGAAATGTCTTTTGTCTTTGTGCGCACTCTTCCTCACTTCTTTTTCCAGTGTATTCTACGTTGTACTCAGTTCGTCGTTTCGTTGTGTATGCTTGCACTGGTTTATCTTCTGCTTCACCATCCTCCTCTCCCTGCTCTATCAGCTGCCATATGTCCATCGAGATCCATTCCTTGTCATTTTTTATCTTCCTTCCTGATACGGTTATGCAGATTTCTTTCCACATCTCTTTCACAGATTTCTAATGTTCTTTCACACAGGTTTCTTCAGGAATGTTGCTCGATATCTCCTATTTTGTCTTGATGGCTCCCGTGAAGATTTTCTTTGTAGTTTCGTCCTTCAAATTCCTTACTGGGTGTTGAACTTCAACTGCGGTCTATCACCAGCTTCCTTGAAGGCTTTCAACTTGATTTTGAATGTAGGTTACCTGTACTAGATAGTGAGTGGTGTGAACCTACATCTGCTCCCCTTCTTGACCTTGTGTCAATTAGGCTGCGTCTCCACTTTCTTCACATTGAGATAAAGTCGATCTGATTTTTAGTGTGTCCATGTAGTGAAATCCATGTCGCTTTGTGGATATCCTTGTGTTTGTACACAGTGCCTCCAATCACTAAATCGTTGAATGTGCAGAAATCTGCAAACAGTTCTCCATTCTCTTTCATCATTTCACCTAGTGCTTCGCGACCCATGGTTAGTTCTCTTCCTGTATTGTCCTCTCCCAGTTTGGCATTCATGTCGCCCATGAGCATTTTGATGTCGCCAACTGAGGTCTTGTCCAGTGCTGAATGCAGTCGTCTGTGGAGTTCCTCCTTCTCTTCATCTGTATTATTTGTAGGTGCATAGCCTTGTATGATTGTGACCTTCCTTCCTTTTGAGTTGAACCTCACTGTCATCATCCTGGAGAAGATTGGTTCCCACTGCATGAGAGCCTTCGATGCTGTTGGGGACGTCATGATAGCCACTCCATAACTCAGTGTGCTCGTGGTTATCGTCTGGGTGACAATGTCCTGTTGACAGTTTGGAGAATCCACTCCCATTCCATCTGCTTTCGCAAATTTCAAGCGCTTCAATGTGATACCTTCTCATCTCTTTTGCAACCTGGACAGCCTTGCTAGGTTCAAACATGGTGCGGACATTCCATGTCCCCACGTTTAGTTTCGCTTCCATCGAGAGAGAAGACACATCGGCCAATTGGCTTCCTGAAGTCAGGCTTTCACCAACAGGCGTCACTTCATCTCTCCGATTCCAGCTAGGAATAATATTGTTTTTATTTTTTATGTTTTGTTTGTGCTTTGAAGTTTCTTTAGCGGTTAGATTGATTTTACGGGGTAGGGTTGCTAGCCCTACGCTTAACCTTCCCTCTTTACCCGGGCTTAGGACCGGCTAGTAACTAATGAACTAGTTAACCAGGTGAGGTTGCGGATAGTTGTGGTGACCTTCAAATGACTTCCAAGCGCTTTCAAGCGCTTGACATATAAGCGATAGAAAATTCTAGTGAATTTCGTACAACTTATGCTACTTAGCAGTTGCATATATTCATAAGTTTTTTTACATGAGATATCTTGTGCGAATTTGTGAGGAAAATTCATAATAAAGTTCACTCTACCATCTATTTTCATGCCGAGAACACATAATCAGTCCATCTCTTAACCTAATAACAATTCAGTGTTCATCAGTGAGTTTGCTTCGAAATTGATCCTTAGGAGTTGCAATGGATAACTATTACATATGGCGTCAATTAAGTCAAGAATGAAGACAACTATTCATCGATGTCATTGGATGATGATGACCACACTATACTGTATATTGACGGAAGGTGATGAACATGGACTCATTCTATTGACGGAATAAGTGGTAAGCTGCTCACCTCCATACATGAAGGTTCTGCACTCAATTCCTCATTTAGTTGCCCGTGGGCGCATAACTCAGGCGTTCAAAACTAGACTGAAACAACTGTCCATCGCTTTTAATGATTCTTTAGATGACACTAGTTAATGCTGGAAATTGCTATCAACCACAGCCATCTTGAACAGTCTCATAAATTAAATTTAGGGGTTTGTGGAGATTTATTGGTTTCAAGTTGATATTCATCATGGGCTAACATCATTTGGAGGGACATTAGAAACCTGGGAGCATTCGACAACTTTTTTGTCCTAGTATGGGGCTCCTCAGGAGTACACACATGACCCCGCCAGGGATCGAACCCAGGACTTTCAGGTTCCGTGGTCACCATGTCACCATTGAGCTACTGGGTCGGGATCGAATAGGAATATGGACCATTTGACTCCGACGCGGTGGCTCAATAGTAACGCGCTGACCATGAAGCCTGGGTTCGATCCCTGAGGTGCGGAATCATGGTTGCGCGCTGCTGAGGAGTCCCATACTAGGACGAAACAGCTGTCCAGTGCCCCCAGGTTTCCCATGTTCCTCCAACTGATGTCAATACATGATGAATACCAACTTGAAGTCTCATCAGTGTTCATTGTTCACTTGGCAGCATTCAATTTATAATCCCTAATTCACATTCCATGTTGGCAAATGTATTAATTACTAACTTGACCCTCATTATGTTGAACAGTTGACAGAATTAAGGACTAGTGGACCGTTGGATCCCAACTCAGCGGCTGAATGAATGGTAATGCTGTCGCTATGAGACCTGACGACCGCAGGGTCGGTCCGCAGTGTGTGGTCATAAGCGCTGACTACTAAGAAGTCTTGTACTTGCACAAAACAGTTGTCCAGTGCTCCCAGGTTTTTAGTGCTCCCTCAACTGGTGTCAGTCTGTTATAAAAACAAACTTAAAATCAGTAAATCCCCTAAATACCAACAACTGAAGTATTTTTATTTGTTTTTTCTTTCTTCTTACATTCAGTGGGTCAGTTGTTAAATCTTTGGCCCGTGAAGTATTTGTCGATGTTGGACATCTGTTAAAGCAACGACGTCAAGATGATTTGAAACGTGATTTCGGATGCCATTTAACCGATGATATATGGTATGTTTTGACTGTATGTAACTACTCATTAATTCCTTCATACAATTTCATACATTAGTAGATCCTCATAAACTGGTCGTGTCCTAGTAAATTTACTATTACTTACGTCATTGCTTCTACTCCACAGGATGCAGTTTTAGTTTTTCAAACAAAAGGAGCTGTGTCTTAGTGGTTTAGGGAGGTGACTATTAACTCTTGGGTTACAAGCTCGGGTCCCGCTCCATCTACCTAGGTTTCCGCGGCCAGGTAGTAGTATCATCAGCTCCAACACTATAGGTGTGGCTCATTGCCTACGTTTTCATCAAATAAAGTTGACTGTGAGAATATAAAGACTAGTTTCTTTCAATTTATTGTAGTCTAGTTAGTTGGTATCAATTAACAACGACGGACACCCGTTGCACAAGTGGTGGCTCTCGTGCCCCGGTTGTTTAGTGGGCAACTCTTTGCCGTCTGAAGTGATGAGTACTGGGTTCGAGTCTCACTGGGGTGCAGGTACATCCAGCTCACGAGTCCCAGTTACGATGAAGTGAACGTCATGGATTCCACTGCTCACCACCCAATAGACTAGAATTAAAGACGCAACAACCAATCTTTCTCGATGTTTGCATGAGATTTAAAGAGGTCTTCATCAAAAAACATTATGGGACGCTCAATATTTAAAATTTGACTGTATTTACCTAACCAGCTGCAAAAGATGTTTATTTAAAACATCATAGTGAAACGGCGAAGTAGTTGCAATTCCAAAGAATACTTCAAGCACAAATTGAACTATATTTATTATAATATTTTATCTGGCCTTTGGATTCCTAGTGGAACAAGGGCTTCAGTAGCACGTTTCCATTCCACTCTCTTCTCTCAAGTCTTGTCAACCTGGCTCCATCACTGTCCGCCCACAAGCTTTCATTTCTTCCTCACACCATCTCCTCCATGTCACCCTCGCCTCGGACGCCCAACTCGTCGTTTCCCCTTCGGGTTCGCAGTGTATGTCCGATGCAATCCATCTCCACCTCCTTCTGCATATTTGTTGAGCGATGAGTTGTTGGTTAGTTCATTGCCAGCCAGAGTTCCTTGTTGTTTAGTCTTTCTGACCATCTGATCTTCAGTATCGAGCGAGCGTCGGCGGCATCTGCTGATATGATGTATGTCTGTAGTTTGTTGGAAACGCTTTTCGTAACGTGTCAAGTCTCTGAACCATCACATAGATGCACTGACTTGATATTGGTGTTGAGAATCCTAATGTTGTTCACGCTTTATGCTGAGTGCAGTGTAGGGCAGTAGATCTGCACACTGATTTCAGATTGATGAAGGAAGGTTGTCTTGCTGTCTTTCGGATCCTGACTTTGACGTTCTCATCTTTTCCTGTGTCGCCTGTAGTTGAGCTTCACATTGTGAGTCACTTGGCATGTAGCATCTTATAGCATGGCATATTGCTGTTGAATGAGATTGATAAAGGTGTATGGCACTGAAACCGTAGTGTTGATGCAGCTACCAAATTACTTCTCGTTCGACGCTATCGAAGACCTTTTCAAAGTCGATAAAGATGAGGTAAAGAGTTGATTGCCATTCTATGCTCTGTTCTATGATGATGCGTAGCGTTGGAATTTGATTCGCACATGATTTGTGTTTCCTAAAGCCAGCCAGCCAGCCTGTTCCGGTCGTAATTTTGAATGCGGAGTATGTTTTAGTCCCTCTAGGATAATGTGGTTTAATATTTTGCTTGGTGTGGACACGAGCATGATTCCGTGCCAATTCTTGCAAAGAAGTTTTTTTAGCTATTGGATTAGTTTTACGGGGTATGGTTGCTAGTCCAAACTTCTATCTTTATCCGGGCTTAGGACCGGCTAGTGAACCAGTAAACTAGGTGAAGCTCATATTGGACTAATTGAACATTTTTTACGCAATATTGGCTGTTCAACGAAGTTTATGCAAAAGTACTGCAAAATTGAGACCAAGAAAGAGGAGTGATACATTCTGGAAATAAAATTGGGGTTTTGTACTGTAACTTTCAAAGGGCATGGTGTTGCGGCCTGTGGCTGTGCTACCTTGACGTGGTGGTCGCGCTTGCAAATCACAGTGATCCAACGAGGTATGCTTGTGGAACACGTTTCCCCTTGAGGTAGTACCATACCAGAAAGATCTGTTGGGCAGTAGTAAGACGAAAAGCATTTACCGTTGTATTGTAAACCACTACTCTATGATGGGTGCCAGAGAGTGAAGTTATGCTGTTGACTGAATGGGGTGTGGTAGCAGTAAGGTGTTTCTCTTGGATGACCCGCAATGCTGCGCTAATGTTACCTCCTCAATGGTAAGAGAGGTTAGAAAAGGTCGGCCCGAAAAGTAGCACACACAGTACCGCTCCATGGTCTTCTAGTACCAGCGCTATGAGTTTTCTCTCTTCTTCTTATGACAACCATAGGAGGATTAGTTGTGCAAATATCCGTCAAAGATCCTGGGGTCCATAGTTAGTCGATGCCTAACTGAAGGTCGAGAAAATCAGGAAGGTTTCAAACCTGGACGAGTGTGCATGAGTTATATTTTCACCCTTTTACAGGTTCTGGAACGCAGACATACCCACTGGCGGTTGACACTTGCCATATTTGTCGACCTGAAAGTGGCATTTGACTCTGTTGACTGTGAGATGTGGTAGTGTTTGACTGTGAACGGTGACTACTGAGCAAGTATATAATGTTAATCAAAGCTCTTTAGTCATACGCAGCTTTGTAGAGGCTTATAGTGAGTTGTCAGGATCGACAATCACTTCACTTATTTGGGAAGCTCTATCAGCTTGAACGGGTTGGTTTCTAACAACGTTTCAGCTCAGACGCAGAAGGCTCGTTTAACATTTGCCAAAGTGCCCCGTCTGTGGCACTGACTGGCGATGAGGTCAGGCAAAGGGTACTAGCCAAAACAGTCAAGTCGATTGATAAGGTAATGAAGCTTCATTGAATGAGGTGATCTGGACATGACTGAGCATGCCAATCGACTACCAACCTTAACATGACACACTAGGGGAAGTTGAATTAGTTTAGTAAGTGTTCAGAGGGGCCAGACCAAGATGTGACACGAATCGGTGAAGTCTCTTACTGTTTGTCTGATTGGTGTGGGAAGATGTGGACTGCCTGGTTGGGGTCCACGAGACGATAGGAATCAGTGGTTGAGGACTGTCCATGAAATTGAAGACTTGTTTTTGATGAATCAAGACAGATACTCAAGCTTGATGTGGATCTTCTTACTAATATCTTCGAGTTTCACAGCAAAATCCAAATAAAACTTTGAGGTTTGTTGGGATTCATTTATTGGTTTTCAGGTTGATATTCATCATTAACTGACATCAGTAAGGGAGCCAATAGAAACCTGGGAGCACTGGACATCTGTCTTACTCTAGTATAGGATTTTTCCGCAGTGCTCGCCCACAACCCCGCCAGGGATCAAACTCAGGACTTTCTGGTCATGTGGCCAGCACGTTGTCATTGAGACACTGGTCTGGCATCCATTGATCAACATTTCTTACTACTGTCAGTTCACGATATAGCACGTCTTCAATACAATGTTGTCTCTGAGTAACGACTCTCACATTTGACTTAACTGACCCCACTGGTCACGATTTCTCATGGGAACTTTGGGAATCTCATCTGGAGACAAGTCACTAATAAGCAACAGAATAATCCAGTTTGGAGGTTTACTGGATCCATTGAACGATGGCCCAGTGGCTCCGTGGTAACGTGCTAGTCGTGGAACCTGAAGGTCCTGGGTTCGACTCCCATCGGAGTTACTTCCAAGTTGTAATCAAGAATTAATAATCTCACCAGAAAACAGACCAAACTGTTGCAAACAATCTTACTTCCTTGTGAACTTACCCTCTAACATGTTGATTTGGCAGTTTGCCTTTTAATTCTTCTGTCACAGTCGTCCTGAAAGAGATTTCTCAGTGCTATGAATCTTATTTAGGGCATAAATATTTTTAAGTGGAATTGTAGCTGTCATTGTCATTTTTCTGACGTTATCATGTTTTTCACATTTTTCATTTGGTCTGTGTTAATGCTTACTCAAGTGATGACGATGATCCAACTTACTCAAGTCGAGAACTACGAAGAAGGCTAACTGAAAATAAACGTCTTGGTGATACCAATTTGAATAAGGTAAGTAGAATTATAATTCCAGTTGGTGCTACTCAACGTGTATGTGTACAACGTAACCGTTAGTTGCTATCCTAAAACTGTAGTCGCACTTGCATATCGCAGTGACCCAACAAGGTATACTCGCGGAATACTTGTTCCCTTGAGGTTCTACTTTACCAGAAAGGTCAGGTGGTTAGTGGTAGAACAAAAAAAACAGTTAAAGTGTAATACTCTACGATGGGGTTTAGAAGACGAAGTCGTACTGCTTACTGACAGCATTAAGGTGTTTCCTATGGATGACCAGCAGTAAAGTGCTGATGCTGCCTTCCTTGTGTTAAAGGGAGCTAGGAAAGATTGGTTTCGAAAATACTAGACACTTGCCTCTACTGTGCCGTCGTCTACTGCAAGCCATATGAGTTTTCTAGCTGGATGTAAATGAATCAAAGTTAGACTCGAAACTTCCGAAACGGCCGTATATGACCGACCCAGGTAGATGTCCTTTGTGTTTCTGGATTCACGTATCAACACTAATAATCCTATATGTGATCCAGGGGCCTCAAGAAGAAGTGGGGATCGCTGATAAATATCAACTTCCTTCACGACTCTGTCACCACTGAATTTCTCTCAGATCGTTATTGACCTTCTCACATACTTTCCTTTTCATCTTTCTTCACGTCTCTCAATCATCCTTAATTTATCCTAGCCTTGAAGCCCTGGATTACGATTCCAGTTCGAGGGACAGCATCCCTGGTTTCCTCAAACCACATTTCAAACTACAGAGTATGGCTTTCAATGTTCACATCCCCCATCAAATCGGCCAACAAACTTCGCTAGCCAAAACTATTGCATTTCACGACATGGACATGTGGTGTATTTGTAAGACATGCATACAGGACAAGTGCTGTTGTTTAGTCATCCGGCCAATATGGTGAATCCGTAGAATTTACTTTTCGAGTTTCCGGAGATTCGAAACCTAGTTCTCGTGGTCTTGTAGGTGTTGGTATATTATTAGGTGCTAAGGAAGACAAAGCACTGCTCGGCTGCATCGCAGTTGACAGTCACTTGTGTGCTGTTCGATTGAATGGTCCAGTGAAGACTAAAAAGAGTAGTGACGCTTGCCATTGTCTCTTTTTAGTCCTTGCCTACTCACCCACTGACTACAGTTCAGATGAAGTGAAGGATGAGTTTTACCGAGAATCATCTACCCCCACACTGAAAGATCAAACATTTAGATATGACTGCCGCACCAAGTGATTTGGTTGCACATGTCGGTGGACTGAGTCAGGCGGCTGAACGAACAGATTACGGCGATTACCTACTTGGGCTGTACTCAGAAAACAATCTATTCCTAGCCAGCATAGACTTCAGACAGAGAAATTGTGTCAGGGCGTCCGCTGATCGCAACTCAATAGTGGTCACAGGTAGACCATATGACTATCAATTTATCGTTGGAGAGGGTGGGTGTAAGGTAGTCGATCCTTCTTAAGCACGTGTTCGGATAGTGACCACACGTTGGTTCGAGCAGGTGTATTTCTGCGCTTAAATGGACGTGTCAAGACTACAGCTTCTAGACCATTGCAAATGCTGCTTTAGACTATGAATATAAGGGCTGTTTTCAGCGAGAAACTGTATAACGTCACTCATCGTGAATAAGTTAGGCATCATTTCCAGTCTATTACGGAAGCAGCGTTAAAAACCGTCACTGACCTTCATTAGATGTTTAAAAAGTGTTGACTGGATGTCAACTGCTTCTTCTCAATCATTGAACCCACTATTGAATCCTACAAGCTCTGAGAACATTGAGAAACAGAAGTAACTAAAGAACAGACTGATAAGAATTCTACTCAACGACTGCTAGAAGTTGTGGTCACTGAAGGCAGCGGCGACAGTTGAAGACATACAGCTATTTGGGCTGACCACAGAAACTGGGGAAAGACAGCCGATGGTTAGTAAAAATACAGCGGAGAAGGATTGGTCTGCAATCTCCTTTTAAGGGAACAACTGGAACGATGTGTAGAACACTTCAGGGAGAAGTTGAGCTGACTTTCAGCTAATATTCCTTTGTGCGTTATCCGCTAGTATTCTAAATTAAACACTGAGGCAGGATCACTAACTCTTGCTGTTATTGAGAAGGCTGTAAGTGACCTGAAAAGAGGATGGGTAGTCGGGCTAGATGAACTAAATTGAAAGGTATTTAAGGACAATGGTCCAGAATTATTGGTTGCTAGCTGACGTTTGTGAAACGGATGTCATCGTCTCTAATTAGCCTCCATTTCTGATTTCCATTGTCTTCGAGAATTGGGAGGAATTTTTCATTGAAGAATCAGTCTCACGAAGGTAGTGTTTAAGATTTCAGGTCCTATGATCATTAGACGTCTATAAAAGCTCGGGAACAACAAATTGGAGAAAAACAAGCAATTTTGAGACCTGGTCACGAGTATATCCACTGGATATTCACCTTCCAGTAGGTTTTAGAACACATGGACCTTTGCCGGCGTAACGTGCCAAGTCTCTGAACCATCACATAGATGCACTGACTTGATATTAGTGTTGAAAATCCTAATGTTGTTCACGCTTTATGCTGAGTGCAGTGTAGGGCAGTAGATCTGCACACTGATTTCAGATTGATGAAGGAAGGCTGTCTTGCTGTCTTTCGGATCCTGACTTTGACGTTCTCATCTTTTCCTGTGTCGCCTGTAGTTGAAACTATGCTGCCTATGTAGGTGAACGAGACAACTTCCTTTAGATTTCTCCTGTTGATGGTGATTGGTGCTTGTTATTGTTGGTTGGGTGTCTTCATCACCTCTGTCTTCTCTACGTTGATATGAAGTCCCATCTTCGCTGCCTTGTCTCTTCTGCCAACTTCTTGGTTTTTGCCTGTAGATCTTCGAGTTTGTGCGACAAGACATTAGACACAAATTATCAGTGGGAAATCCAAATCTCCCTCTGGGGTCTTTTCATCGGTCAAACAGCCTATGCCCCTCTTCTTGCTCCTCACAGTTTGCTGCATGATCCAGTCCCGTCCACTACAATCAGGAAGATGATCGATAATAGTAGGTGGCAACGTTTTCTTACTCCTGTCTTAGCTTCAAAGACGTCACTGAGCTTTGAATTGTGAATCACTTGGCATGTGGCGTCGTCATATGGCTGTTGAATGAGGTTGACAAAGGTTTGTGGTACTCCGTAGTGTTGAAGCAGCTGCCAAATTACTTGTCTGTCGACACTGTTGAAGGCCTTTTCATAGTCAATAAAGATGAGGTAAAGTGTTGACTACCATTATATGCACTGTTTTAAATCCCCACAAACCAGCAAACTAAATTCACTTAGTTTTGTTCCGATTTCGCCTACTTAGATTCTTTCGTTTGTCTTTTGTAGAAGATGAGAAATATTGTCTCGTCAGTTTGGTGCTTTGTTTAATTTCACTCAACGCTCTAATTTCATACTGTATTATTTTACATCATTAACTTACAGGTATTCAAACATTTTATTGATCTGCAACATACTGTTCAAAGTGTTGTCTGTAAAAACGAAGCTATCAGTGATGTCAGTCGTCAGCGTCGACCGTTAGATCTGAGCTGTAAAACAGCATCAACATCCAGTGAAATCTATACATCAAAAGAAGCGATTAACCCGTCGAAAAATCATAAATCTGAGGATTCTCCAACTACATCTGATGATGAAGTTTTCACTTTAAGTTCAGACTCAGATGAAGAGACAGAAAGAAACCTACTAGTTCTCCTGAAGTTGTCACTTCTTCATCACTTCCAGCTGGTAAAGAAATAGCGTGCAGAAATAATGAACTATGTAAGTCTCCTATACACGACTGTCAAAATCGAATGATCATTAACAATGGTTCTTCAGATTCACCAGCGCCATACTCTCCAACAACAATTGATCTAATTGATGATGATGATGATGATACTCCTTCGCCAACATCTTCCATCTCAGAACCTCCACAAAAATTATCAAGGTTGGATAACTGTGTACCTGCATCAAATTCATGTATTAATAATAATGATAAACTCCCCTTCTCCACATCGTTTCATCAAGAAACAAGACAATCTAGTCAAGTTGTAACTGTAGCTACACGATATGGTCCTCATGGGATTGAGACAATGAGTCATATGGCCAGTGCACATATTGTACATCGTTATCCTGTAACCACAACATTAATAACAAATAAAGCATCTACTCGACATTATACTAGTAATTGTTTATCAATGACACGTATAGGTTCTCATCAATCTTCATTGAGACATTTCACATCTATTAATAATAATAATAATAATCCACCGACTATTGTCAAAATTATACGCACTGATTTCCCTGTACCACCTAATTCATCACCATTATCATCAACAAATCCTATGAGTAATGCTATAGTCCCTGTGACTGTATCCAATACTTGTGAAAATGAAACTATAGAACTTGATTAAGATATTTAAGGTATATTATTTATTTACTTGTTAACTTATTTGTTCAAATCAATTCAAGTTTCTTTTTCTAGAAAATGTTTATGGACTTCTGTGTATTATTTATGCATTTGTGTTAATGCTTACTGAAGATTACTATTGGTCAGGATGTATTTATATGGATAAATGAAAAGAAAAGATATTAGTTCACTTCTTTGGTGAAAAGTGTGAATATTTAATGTTGTTTTCTGCTTAGAATTAGGATTTATTTGATCCTTTTTAAACATGACTGTTGAAAGTAGAAGAAAAACTTTTTGTCTCAGGTGTCTTCTTAGCATTGTCTTATGAGCAGTATTGAAGTTATGCAAAGGGTATTAGATAAGACAAGGAAGTGGTTGACAAACTTCATCGAGTGACATGACTTGAACATGACTACGGGTGTGTCAATCCACTGACAATTTCTAGGTGAAGTTGAATTAAGTTTGAAAGAGGGTTCAGAGTGGCCAGATCAAGATATGGCACGAATCGATGAAGTTTCTGACTGTTGGTCTGAGCTATATAGGAAGATGTAGACTGCCTGGTTGGGGTCCATGAGACAATAGGAATCAGTGGTTGAGGATTATTGATAAAACAGCTGGAAATTGGTAGGTCACAATGGTGCAGATGTATTCACTCATTCACATCTTCTAAAGCTTGAATATTCAGATTGTTTATTCTCTCATAGAACTTTGTCTGCCTTAATATCACTCTTTGTCTATCCACTTGTTCTTTGCATACTAGTGTGGATTGTGACAACTTGAACTGATGCACTTGTGTGTAAGGTTCTATGTTGATCTTGTCTGCCTACCTGTCTGTCTTTTAATCAAATGACCTTAGTGAATTACAATTTTCAATAATATTCCTAAAAAATCTCAGAAATGCACTAATCAGTCTGTTTCTCATACTCCTTTAAGGTGGCCTTCAAAGACTCTAAAGACAAAAACGCTCTATAAAGACTGATTTGTTTTTGGCTACAACGCTTCGGACGGTATCATCGCTCATCATGAAAATAAAGTAACCCTTCTGCTCTGCTTTATAGTACTTTTCAGTTTCGTGTAGCCAATCGTGTGAGATGTTTCTTCGTTCATTTTGATTGGACAACAAGTGACACAGAGTGATGGGGAAGGGATAGGGAATAACACTTACAAAAAATTATCACCGTGGACCAAATGTATTTTCGAGTTTCTTGATGGAGGAGAGAGACAGATGATAGTACAGAATCTTGCGCAGAAATGTTTCAATTCAAGTTTTTAACATAACGATAATCAGAAAGTTTATAGATTATTGTCATCTGTTAACAACGTGATCTGAAGGTACGTGCATAAGTGCGTGAATGAATAACCTTTAGGTTCCATTCGTTAAAATAGAAAAAGCAGTGAAACTATTGATCTGTTGTCAATTCTGTACAGATGTGTAACTGTGTATACCTTCACAATGAGCTTGATCATTCCCATGCTTTGTGAAGGGTTATTTTGTATTAATCTCAAGTTAGTATTCATCACAAACATCATTTGAAGAGAATCATTGAAAATTTGGGAGCACTTAACAGCTGTTATGTTCTTGTCTGGGACTCCTCAGCACCGCGCGAACCCAGGATCTTCGGGTTCTGTGTCCAGCACGTTGCCGTTGAGCCACTGGGTCAGAATTCAACGGTCCAGTTTTCCCACTTCTACCAGATCGCGGTATAGCATGACCTTAGTCCAAGTGTGACTTGGTTTTCCCTGTCGGTCACGACTTCTCATTAGAACAGTTATTAATTTGGAGGTTTGTGTGGATTTATTTATTCTCCAAATGATGTAAGTCCGTGGTGAATACTATACTTGAGACCAATAAAATGCACCCCCTACTAACCTCTTAATTGCGGTATCTTCTGTTGAATTTCTCTTCAGTTTGATGATAAGACGTAACCATCTGGTGTTTTTTTCGGAAATTCGAATTGTGTTGTTTGTTTGTGAACGTTACTAGAGATTTTAGACGTCTTTCAAGGATTTAAACTGTTATGCTGCTCTGCTTTAGTTAACTTGACATATCACTATGAATTGTGGCTGCGAATGAATAACACATTTTAACCACTGTTGTTTTACAACTCCATTAAACGATTTGTCTTTCTGGCATCGTCATCTGTACTCAATCTCGTGGCTCAGGTCAAGTTCCGCGATACTTGAGCAGTGTTAAGGAGGCGCACGATATGGAACTGTGAATTACTAATCTTGTCTCTCTTCAGTGACCATATCTGAACCTTTCAGTAGAATACAGCTAAGTGTTATATATTCCACTGTTTAGTAGATGATCGAGTGTCTCACCAGGATCATAGAGAATAAATCCGGTTGCCATCTAAGTAAATCGTGTCAAATAGTTTTCTTCGTATGACTTTAATTTTATACCTACGGTTCTTATTACTTCGTAAAATGTTTTTTTAAATGATTGGATTTGACAACTTCATTCAGTATTCTCTTGAAGGTCTACTAAAATGTATTATTATGACAAGAAAAGCTGCATACTACTTATCGGTGAGATATTAGTAACACAGTGTATTCACCTGTCATGTATAAGCAGCTTTTAAAATTTTAGCATAATATTAGACCTTCTGATTAATAGTTTTACGTGATGATCCTCGTTCCACAGTTGCCTAGTGGGTAGCACTTTGGTGTTTGAAGCGATGCATAATCGGATTGAATCTCAGTGGAGTGCGGGTACATTCAGCTGACGAGGACAGAACGTGCGTCCTGGATTCCACTACGAGTCACTAACATGAATTTTAGATCAGCTGATGTTATAATGACTTCTTCTGCGAAACTAAGTATCTAGATTCCGGGATGCAGATACAAGAGAGATTTCTAGGGGATTAACAAAAGATCTCTATCCTCAATTTCGGCACTGAAGAGATAGTCTGAATGACTCTAATGTTGATCGGAACCTTCTTTAGACCAGTTTCTTTCAATGATAAAGTAAGCTGTCATCAATTCAGGTGATTATGACATGCCGTACTCACGCCTAGTTACCGATGTACGATGGTAGTTGAAGCAGGATTCGGGTGTAAAAAGATGAAAGACAGTTAGAACAAAGTACTACTTCAGGCCATGAAATCTCTAACTGTTAGTTTGAGCCGTTATATGGAAATCTACACTTTCAATTTAGGGTCCTTTTGACAATCGAAGTCGATATTTGGAAACTTGGTTGTATGACTTAGAACTGTTTTTTGATGTCGCAAGTCCATCCACATATTGTCTGCATCCAATCCTTCATGGCACATTTCGTTAACTCCCCTAATCTCTTGTCTTCTTTGATAACTTTTGTTCATTCATGGACTGATGATATGTGTGGCATCTTGGGATGCTGAGCGGTATTTCTGAACAGCATATTGAAATCGACTGGCCTACTTTGACCAGTATCAAATTCTCTCACTAAACTAAACCTGCAGATTACACTATCTGGGGTTCTAGTTTTATCAGTAGAATCTAGACTTACATCCTTTATCTTTCAACCATCTATTATTGATATTTGAATGTAAACAAAATGACCACTTCTAATAAGGGTGTAGGAATTTATATTGGCTTGTCAACAAAATACTTCTGAGTTATTAAATTTCAAGAAGTTGATTTATCCAATCCAGTTGTCTAAACGTCAAAGCATTAGTTCAGCTTGTGATAAACAGCTTTGAGGAGACTTTAACCCGAAATAGGTTCCAAGAGAAATCCACTCAGTAACTGTACACATTCGTGCAGTGGGCAATGAGACACATCTGTTATATGAAAGCTAATGTTATTATCCTCGACTATGATCTATACCTTGGTAGATGGAGCGGTGTTCGAATCCACTGAATGGAAGTTCAGTACTTAGATCAGTGAGCCACAGCTCTACTCCTTTATATGAAAACTTTACTGGGTGACCATTAGGGTTGTATATTTTTGAAAGACTCTAGGAGATGGTAAAAACTTCTGTTAGGAATATTAATGCTTAAGATTCATGAACTTGGTGGAAAATAACAGATCAGTGACTCCGACAAATTGCAAATATATCTGTCTGTCTCTTAGTTCAATGTATTTCAGAAGATAATGAAAAGCGAGTTAGTCTGTATAAAACACCATTTGAAGAACACGGTTTCATTGTTTCTGTTTTTGAGCACAATGTTTTCATAATTGAAATGATAAATATGTCACAATAAAATATACAAAAATATTCATTAAGCATCATGTTTAATAAATCAGGTGAATAAGTGTTTCTCCAATGTTTCTTGACAAGTAAACATTTAATGACGAAGATAGTTTTCTATAGCAGCTACTGGATATTCTGTTGTCATTGAAACAATATAGGCCATGACATAACTAAATACTGTTATTGAAGCTGTCAGTTGTACCTGGAAGAAGAGGAAGAAACGGGGAAAACGGGTCCATGTATCGTGAAGGTATGAATATTATACTTCTCTTACCAACCTTTTTCTAGTGTTTCGGTTGAAGATGACTAGCTCACCACTCTTTCATTCTCTTTAAAAAGCCAGTTCGCTGTTGTTATATACCCCTAATTTTGCCTGATATTTGCCTATAACCTTTATAATTGCTGTTTTGACGCCCTCTCGATGCCGTTGATAGCTTTTGTTTTTTCCACTGCTTCTGAAGGCTGAACTCTCATTGGTTGCTAACTCTTTTAACTTACCAGTGAATTTATTGGTTTTCAAGGTCGTTTAGAATGTATGTATTCAGCATCGCTCTCAACTGTTTTGACTGTTGTTGAGACAATAAAAACTCTTTGTCAACGGTCCGTTTTGTCTTCGCGTGTCGGTGGTATTGTTGTTATGGTTGACGTTCTCATTAGGGATTAGAATAGACTATTTTGCACGTTAGGTTTATATCGTTCGTAGATTGCTACGTCACATTACTGGTTATAGCAGTTCTTAGCATATAACGAGTACTTTCGCTCATTCAGAAGTAGAATGTTACCAGGAATCGGGTGGAGTAACTTCGTTCTTGGCTTTATTTTTGACCAATTCATCATATTTCTAAAGTGTTTCTTGCTGGGTAGTATTGTTGTTCATAAGGTATCAGTTGAAGATTACTCCACCCTTGATGTCTTTCACTGTTCAGGTTTCTCTCACTCATAGGACATTTAATGCGGAAACTTATAATCACTTGTGCACACCATACGATCATAAAAGAAGTTTTCCATATATTAGAAGGCATATTTACGAAGTTAACCAATCCGAGTATTTAGCGCGATTGTCAGCGACCAACCTTCCACAACTTCCTAGATGATTTCTGATCTGACTACTTTATGGAGAAGACAATGAGATGAGTAGGAACATTGAAGACTTGAAGTAATCATCAAAAGGGGAACATATCAATATATATATATATATATATATATATATATATATATATATATATATATATATATATATATATATATATATATAATCTGGCGTTCAAGAAATAATAATATTAGTTGACTGATTGATTGTCTGTCAGTTCAACTGTAGTCGTAATTAACACAGTACATTCTGTTTGATCCACTTATCACCTCGATCCTTAAGAGAATGTTGATTGACGTTGATTCGTATTGAAAGCTACCATGAAACCAATCGATCCCTACAAACATATGAACTGAATTACTGTTCACTAGTGACTTGCTGCCGGATGGATTTATCGAAGTTTTTATAAGAACTCGTGATCAACCAAGTTGGGTGTGACAACAAATACTCATCGACAGTATTGGATGATGGTTGCACTCTTTTCTGAATTGACGCAAGTAGGAAAGTGTGGATCATTTTAATCTGACTGAGTAGCTGAATGGTAAAGTTGGCACCTTGAGACCTGATAGTTCTAGATGTCAGGGTCGTCAGTTAGCACTACTGAAGAGTCCCATACTAGGATGGAACGGTTATTCAATCCTCGACGTTTATCAATCGTTCGTCAATTCTAGGTGAAAATTACCTCGGAACCAATCAGCCACCAACTGGTATGAATCTTCAAAGAAACTGTCCAAGATAGCTGCGGTTCAGCAGACTGATATTATTGTTGCCAGGGGTGGATGAGTGAAGATGAAATGAAATCTGGGTTACCGCAGGATTCAAACCAGCAACCTCCGACCCAGTGGTCTACCAAGTGAGCTACAAGACCCATCTGTTGACCAGGTCTTAATTTCATACCAGTTACCAAAGGTTTTGCCTGGCTACCATGTATATCCATGATACATTCTTATCTGTTCATCGCAATCCCATTGACTGTCCAGCCAATTATCTTCAAGAATGCAATCAATCAAATATTCAGTTCATTTTGGGGGTCTATAGGGATTTCGTGATTTTTCAAGTTAGTATTCATCATGGACTGACATCGATTAGGGAAACATTGAGAACCGAACAGCTGTTTCGCCCTAGTATGCGAACCAGCAGTGCGCACCCACAGCCTCGCAAGGGTTCGAGCCCAAAGCCTTCCGGTTCAGCAGCCAGCACGTTACTATTGAGCCATTGGGTCGGAATCCAATGGTCCATATTTCCTACTTCTGTCAGTTCATGACATGGCGCAACCGCCACCCAACGTCATCGTTGAGTATTTGTTCTCATGACCACCAGGTTTGCCCATCAGTTGGAGAAACATTTGAGCTTTCTTCTCAAATCAAATATTGTTCACAGAAAACAATGAAAGATTATTTTAAAACAAGACAAAAAAAACTCACAGTTTTCAATTGGTCTATGATAAACGGAGTTTGAGTTCCATCGATTAAAATAGTGACAATAATTGGATGTATTAAATAAGCGCAATAAGTGAGACGAGCTGGTACGCGAAAAAGTGACCAGGCGAAGATATTGTAAATGGGTTCTGTGTAATAAAGGAAAATATCTTAAATTGGATTCAAGTAGTCTACCACCAACCTGTCTAATAAAATATACATCAGTTTTAATTGGTCTTTAGAGAATCGCAGGATTCGGACTTTCAATTAATCGCCTTACTCGCCAAGTTTTAGATACATAGGTGTTAAGAAACTGTGTCAGCTATCGTCAAGTAATTATTAGTTTGCAGTTAGTGAGTTGTATGCTAAAACATCTTATTGATAACGTTTTTTATCAGTTCAAGTGTTATAAGAGTCTCACAAAGACTTTCAATAAGGAGTTTTAACAAGCATGAAATCTAGTTTCAAGACTGTTTGCGAATTAACTTTCATAATATTCACTTTTGAACTTGAGGTTTAAGGAAGAAGTATTTTCTTTGGAGCTAGGTAACACTGCTGTGTTGTCTTCTTTTCCTTCATATGCTTACCTATAAATCTGACTAAACAAAACATTCTGCGGTAGCCATCTTGGTGACTTGCAGTGAAATCCGGGACACGCGTTTCTTATTTGGGACTCATCAGCCGGATGTACTTGCATCCCAGTGAGTGATTTTGTTCCCGTTGAGACGCGGACTCAGTACACATCACTTCAAACGGTGAACGAAAGTCACTACCTGTACAACGGATATAATTGGTTGTTGTTTGATACTTGTAATTTCCCGCTGCTATACAGAGACGAGTTGTTCGACTTTTGTTGACAGATGGGCTCCTATTCAGTTGCCTCGATACTGCTGGGTATTCTGCAGTAACGTTTCAAGAAGAGTTTCTAATTCACGGCATCATAACTACATATCTTTCTGATTCTTGAAAAGAGAACGCATAAAAGATTTTTTTTCTTAAATAAACGCGTTCAGGTTTAGGATTTAGTCAAGTAGGCCTCTTTTCATAAAGCACATGATAAAATGTCCATGTCATTATTGTTTATCTGAGTTTGCCTACAGATAATGTGTATACAATAGCCTAAATTATATTGAAGTAACACACACATTCAACTGCTCACAATTTAAAACATCTTGATATCAGGAGAACAGACAGAAAAGCATACCTTGGATTCTTTGAAGACGTACCAAAAAGCCCATGTCTTAGGAGAATAAATGGTTTAATTAGTGCAGTTGCTCAGCATCTTATTGATACAGGGCATGAAGCAGAGACCTTAGAGTCCTTCAAGGTAATCAAATAAACGACGCACTCGGAACCGTCTCAAGTTTTCTGAGGACTTAATAATAACACGAATGAAACCGGAGTTATGTTCTAAAGAAGGTGTCGATGTCACTTTTACCCTGGTTACTGAATATTTAACTCTTCATTTTAGCTGATGATACCAAATTTGACCTAATCCTCTCTCATTTTTAATAAAGTGCTGTTTAAAATTAATCGAGAAAGGTGTTTTCAAATGTCTCGAATTCCTGAAACCTTCACACAGTTAACGTCTGGATAGCATGTCAAGTTTCGTATTCACGAAGTGTTCTGTTATATTATGCCATCCACTAACTAACATATTTAATAGATCGTTTTCACAAAAAACCATAACAGCTTCATAGAAAGATGTTAAGATAGTCCCTGAATCTAAATCGGTGACTACAGACGCATGTTTGAAATTCCGTCCGGTTGCAGTTACTTCTCTGTTCTTGGAAATAATGGAGAAGCTTATAATACATGTGCTTGACTCCTAATTGAAGGTTTCCGGAGATCGTAATCAATTTGAATACAAAAGGAAAAGAAGCATTCTGGATGTAACCGCTATCTTATATTGCAATATTGCTTTTAATCTTGATGGAAATGCCAATTATGTTAGATGTGCCTTTATAGACTATACTTCAGCATTTGATTTCGTCCCAAGATCTCTTTTATTGAACAAGTTAATCAGGACATATAGTGAGTCTTGGATAATCAGCTAGGTGTATTACTATTTCTCTGAAAGGGAACAATATACCGTTCACAGAGGGAAGTGCTCTATCACATTGCTGACCGTGACTAGTGTTCCCTAAAGTGCCGTCCTTTATCCCGATCTGTTCTCTTTCTTTCTTTAAGATTTACCATCTTCATCTGGTATCGATTTTATCAAATATGCGGATAACCTGACAGCTTCCATACCTATCTATTTTTCAACAGATTGCTCCCGACTGAACGATTTCTTATCCACTATTGGAAGACGGTCATATACTTAACTCTTCGAAATGCCAGACTACAAACTTTGGTTTTAGACGTGAACATAACCTGTGTAAACTGCTCATTATTATTTATTATTGTCCCTTGGGTTCCAAGTGGAACATAGGGATTCAGTAACACGTCTCCATTCCACTCTCTTCTCTGCAATCTTTTGAACCTCGCTCCACGACAGCCCAGAAACTCTAATTTCTTCCTCATACCATCTCCTCCATGTCACCCTCACCTCGGACACCCAACTCGTCGCTTCCCATCTGGGTTCCACTCGAGTGACTGGCCTGACGCGTGATGTCACCAGTCGGTCTTCTCAGTATATGCCCAATCCATCTCCACTTCCTTCCACTGCATATTTGTTGAGTGATAGGTGCTTGGTTAGTTCGTTGCCAGCCAGCCAGCCAGCCAGCCAGAGTACCTTGTTGTTTATTCTTATTATTCTGGCCATCTGATCTTGAGTAACGAACGAGCCAGCGTAGGCGGCAGTTGTTGATGAATGTGTGTAGTTTATTGGAAATCCCTTTCGTAACACGCCAAGTCTCTCAACCATACAGAAGCACTGATTTGACTGGATTGGTGTTGAAAATCCACATCTTGTTCCACATGCTGAGTGCAGTGCAGAAGATCTCCACACTGGTTTCAGGCTAATCAACGCAGACCTGTCTTGCATTTTCGATCCTAGCTGGCTTTGACGTCCTCATCTGTGCCTGTGCTGCCTGTAGTTGAAACAGTGCTGTCTAGATAGGTGAAGGAGGCTACTTGCTCTAAGTTTTTCCCATTGATGGCGATTGGAGTTTGTTGTTGTTGTTGTTGTTGGTGGTGTTGGTTGGGTATCTTCATCACCTCTTTCTTCTCTATATACACTTGAAGTGAGTCCCGTCTTCGCTGCCCTACCTCACCTCTTCTGTCAACTTGTTAGTTTTCGCCTGTAGATCTTCAAGTTTATGTGACATAAGACATAAGTCATGGGCGAAATCCAAATCTTCTAGGTTCTTTTCCGCGGTCCAGCGTATTCCCCCCCTTATCGCTCCTCACTATTTGTTGCATGATCCAGTCCCGTCCACTACAATCAGGAATTTCATGGGTGATAGTAGATAGCCTTGTCTTGTTTTACCCCTGTCTTCACTTAAAAAGCATTACTGAGCTGAACTTTCCATTATGAATTACTCTGTATGTGGCGTCTTCATATAGTTGTTGAATGAGATTACTAAAGGTGTATGGCACTGAAACCGTAGTGTTGAAGCAGCACCTGCCAAATTACTTGCCGTTCGACGCTGTCGAAGGCCTGTAGAAAGTCGATGAAGTTGAGGTAGTGGGTTGACTGCCATTCTATACTCTATTCTATGATGATTCGTAGCTTAGCATTGCAATTTGATCCGCACATGATTTGTGTTTCCTGAAGCCAGCCAGCCTGTTCCAGTCGTAGTTCTGAATCTAGTGTACCCTTTGGTTTCTCTAGGATGATGCGGCATAATATTTTGCTTGTTTTGGGTGGACAGGAGCATGATTCCGCGCCAGTTCTTGCAAAGGTCACCCTTCTTTGGGAGTTTGACAAGGTAGTCCTTCTTCCAATGAATCTGCAGGTACCTTCCCTTCCTTCCTGAGATTCTGCGATAGTAGTGTGAGCATATCCGGTGTTGTCTCTGCGTCTGTTCTCAGTGCTTCTGGTGTGATTCCATCTGTTTTTGCTGCTTTCCCGCATTTCAGTAGCTTTACGGCAGTGCGCCTCTAAACCATCTAATTGAAACTGTTATGGACGAACATCTTAACTCATGTAAAAATCTGGTAGGAGTTATTTTATGAGATGACTAGCATCGCTTATACTGATATCTCTCTGCATATCGGTCTCTAGCAAGGATCAGGAGCAACTTATATACGACGTTTAGCATGCACTACTAAAATGTCTACAATGTCGTATTTAGCTTGTCTATTGTGTAAGAAAGAAAGTGTTAGAAATGAACTAATTAACCAACTCTTATTTTCTAAAGCAAACTAATTGAAGAGTACACGACTTAGTGTTATTCATGTATTATGAATCTAATCACCAAAGCGATTGTCTACCTACGTTAACTCTGCATTTTCAAGAATGTTGTAGATAGTGTAAATATTTTTATCCTCATTGTATTATCATCGAATTTGTCTGTTAGTCATCATTAGCTAACCTACTTATTATTCTTCTTACATAACTTTTTTTATTACTATTTTGTTGGAGTAGCTGCTGAGTCATCTGGATAACTCTAAACTATTAGTTGGATGAAGGCAATCGGCGAGATGTCTTCGACTTAAATTTCTTGCTTTTCTGCAGGACTGGGTTGACACGGAGTTCGTAGATGTCGCGTAGATGTTTCAGATACATCTTACTGATGAGTGCCAAAAAGATTGAAACTAAGATCGAGGAGGACTTCTTGCTGATTGCCTCTATCCAACTATTATCATCTATCAGAGTGCATTGCAATCGTGAGTCTCCTAGTCTAATGGCTACGTCGCAAAAATGATCGATAGAATTCGACCACCGTTTGAGAATGAAGAACAAGAATTTGGTTACTCTTGATAAATCTAAAATGTTCTGGCCTATTTTTTCCTTAATTTCATCTGTATACATGGATTTTTTTTATGAGATCATTTTGTTTTCTGTTAATTAATTTCACTCAAACACGAAAAATCTGCTCAAATCCTTCTACTATATGATATTTAAATGTCTTAGGCTTGAAAATACAGCTGACGAGAAATCGGTGAAATGAAAGGATATCCGTGCTTTTTCTCTGCAATTATTATTGTTCCTCGTTTTAATTTTATAAAGGGAAGTAAATGTATGACAAGCACTCAAATTGCCTATTTATAAATGTGTTTTATGTTGGGATATATGATAATGGAAGTCTAAAAATCTAGAAAATAGTTTCCCTTTTTTATTTCTTACCATAATCTTTTACTATTAGAGATTATCTAGACAAAGTTGTATCAGTTAAATTTTTTGAGGGGGTTATGAAGATTTGGAAATATTTCAAGTTGTTATTCATCGAAGACTGACATCAGTTGGAGGAACAAAGGAAACCTGGGAGCACTGGACAGCTGTTTCATCCTAGTGTGGGACTCCTCAGCAGTGCGCACCCACGACCCCACCAGCAGCTTCGAGAAGTATTCCCGAAGTTCCAATGACAAGTCGTGACCGGTGGAGTCAAAGCCTGATGGCCGTGAGGACAGATACTCAACGATGACATTGGGTGGCGGTTTGCGCTATATCGTGAGCTAACAGAAGTTGGAAATATGGAGCATTGGATTCTGACCCAGTGGCTCAATGGTAATGCGCTGGCCGCGGAACCTGGAGGTCGCGGGTTCGGTCCCTGCTGGTGGGGTCGTGGGTGCGCACTGATGAGGAGTCCCACACTAGGACGAAACAGCTGTCCAGTGTTCCCAGGTTTCCTTTGTTCCTCCAACTGATATCAGTCTTCGATGAATAACAACTTGAAAAGTTGTATCATTCATTTTATATCTTGTCTATTTATTCTCCAATTTTTTTCTTTTTGTAACTTTTTACTTTTTCATTTGTGTACAGGTGAATACTGTCAGTACGTTCTTCTATGTGCTTACATCATAGTTGGTTAATGTTTTGTTTGTTATCTTTCTCTTCCTTTCCAGACTACTTTATGACTTAAGTGAACTGCTACTTACCCGGGGTTTACATGGTGAATGAATTTAAAGGCCACACCAATTGAAATGACCAAGTAGAATTCTTTATCTTATGAACAACTGCCTTTGTAGCCGAAATGGAGAAGCCTAATAGGTCATTTTGATCGTTGCTAAGGTAGCCTTTAAAGTGACTCACTGATGAAACAGCCAAATATATTCCTTCATTTTAGTGGAAAAGTACTTTTTCAGGTGAAATACTGAAGCCTGATTAGTTTTTGCTGCCGTTGGTGGGGTAGCCTTTAAAATCACTGATCAAATGCGAATCAGTCCGTCTTTTGAGGGCGAATTTAAAGGCCACTCTATTCTTCTGCTAGCCAAAACCAACCGATTTATCATAATTAACATTCAGGCAATATCGAGGTATGCGCATAGGAGCCCATATGCCAATAGAGGTCGAACAATTCGATCCAAGAAAACAATGGAGAATAACAAGTATGTCAATAAATAGTAATAACTACTACCCGTTGTACAAGAAGTGGCTATCGTTCCTCCGTGGCATAGTGAATAACGCCTTGGCGTTTAAAGCGATGGGTACGGGGTTCGAGTCCCAGTAGGAACAACATCACTGGGGTGGAGGTACATCGAGCTGACGAGTCCCAAATAGGACGAAACGCTCGTCCTGGATTGTTCTGCTAGTCACAACCAACCAATTTACCACTCTAGTAACGATCGGAATAGTTAGTTAGATTTCTTTATTTCGGCGGGAAAGGTAGACTGACTTTCAAGGTTACCCTACCAACTGCTATAATGAATCAATCAGGATTCGATATTTCATCTAGAAAAGTACTTTTCCATAAAAGAAAGGAATGTAATTGGCTAGGGTGGCCTTTAAAGTCATCCTGTTTGAATGATGGTTATTTGCCAACATTCTTTAATGTGACTAGCCTTGATGTCTTCTGAGGCCCTATCACATATACGCGCACACATATATATACACACACCTATTTGTCGTGTCTGTACCGTTTCAATGCATATGAAAGTGAGTACAACTAACATCTCTGCTATCTGTATGTTCCTATGCTAGGGCTGTCATCACAGATTTAAAGGACACTTTACCAATACTTCATTATATTTAAAGAAAACATGAGAAAGGTGCTAGGTGTAATGACCATTAAGCTGGTACACAACAATTCAAACAAACGCAAACACAATCTAAGGTGATGCCACGAAATTGATATTGAATCGAAAGAAAATTTATGCATATTTGTACCTTTCATGAATTGAATTAGTGTAATTAGAAGAAGAGATTTATCTGAAAAGTGTGTGCGTTTGTGTGATGTATTTGTGCACTACCCATTTCGGATAATCTTATCACACACATTTACTTGTCTTGTCAATTTATGTGTGAAACCGAAGGATAGAACGAGAAATATAACAAAAAGATAGTAGGGGATTAAAATTAAGGAAGGAACCACGACATAGTTGATCCTAATCTTCGTCAGAAAACGAATTTTATTAAAGTATGTATAGTGTAAGAACAAAGATGGTTTCGATTTGTACATGGCTGTCGCTTCTGCAAATCTCAGTATGCTTCCTTGACTGTTTCTGTATAAAACTTGGGAAGTTGTTTCAACATTCAATTTGTGTCCTGTTTTTACAATAAATTTAGCAATAGATGAAGAGTGTGAAACCTCGATAAACGTAGATGGGAGATGACTCTTTTGATTTATGGTTAAGTATTTCAAGTTTTTATTCATCGTAGACTGATATCAGTTGGAGGAACAAAGGAAACCTGGGAGCACTGGACAGCTGTTTCGTCCTAGTATAGGGCTCCTCGGCAGTGCGCACCCACGACGTCGCCAGGAGTTAAACCCGCGATCTTCCGGTTCCGCGGCCAGCGCATTACCGTTGAGCCACTGGGTCAGAATCCATTGGTTCATATTTCCAACTTCTGTTAGCTATTATGGCTAAATATATTTATAAGAATAGATCACAAAATTAATGTTCAAACAGCTTTCAACTTTTTATACAGAGACGGTCGAGGAAACATACTGAAGTTTGCGTAATTGATAGCCAAACACCACACCTACCTTGGTAAACTTAGTTCTTTATAATCAAGATTAAGACCAATTATGTATTACTTCCCTTTTGCTCGCATTTTTCTAAATTTTAATCCCCCTATTATCTTAATTGTTATATTTATTCTCCCACTTTTCAGTTTGATACAAATTGATTTGACGAGTTAATATGGAATCAGATTGTTCGAAGGGTGTATTGCCCAAACACATCACACTGTTCAGAGGAACTTCGTCTTATAATCATACTATCTAGAAACAGGAAATACGGCATAAGAATCATTCCCGACAATTATTTATTTAAATTATAAATAAACTTCAGCCTTATAATCAAGTGACTTGTAATGACAGATTAACTTACTTGCCCATCCAACTGCACAGAGATAAACTAATATTGCTAATCCTAAAGTAAATGATACACGTTCTAAAGCCAAATAAAAAGCTGCTGTTCTCTGACTCATTTCAGGTAATATTCCACTTAATACACCATATGAACCAAATATTGGTAAAATACAAAGACAAGCAATCATTAAACAACCGCATAAACCGAGTAGAAGTTGATTTTTGAGCATTTTTCGCTAAAATTAGAAAATTAAACAATAAGGGAACGAAAACATTAGATAATTGAAATTGACAAATAGCACCGTATAGATAAATAATCCAAAAACTAATGGTGAAAATACCACTCAGCTCAGATGGTACAGCATCAGCCTGAGAACCCGGTGGTCTCTGGTTCGAATCCAGCCGTGGTCCTTCACCTTCAGTGATCATTTTCGAGGGATTTATCGGATATTTCGAAAAATTTACTCAACATTTCTCCAGATGTACTTTACTTTTCAGAAGCCCTTCAAATGAACTCAGTTAGTCATGTTAATTTGGCTTCATATTCTAGTGACCTTTTCTATCCTTCACATAAAGGGTTCAAACCTTAAGTTTGTTTTGATTTCATCATCTACGAATTTCTTCATTATTTTAGGTTAGGATTCATCATGGACTGACATCAGTTGGAGGAATATTGGAAATCTGGGAGCACTGGACAGGTGTTTCGTTCAGTAGTGCGTACCCTTCACTCCCCTAGGAATCGAACCTGGGACCTTCAGGTCCCGTAGCCAGCACGTCACTATTGAGCCACCGGGTCGAAATCTTGTGGTCCACATTTCGAGAGTTGATTCCCGAAGTCTCAATGAGAAGTCGTGACCAGGGGAGTCAACCAAGTCGAATGTGAGAACAGTTACTCAACGACAACATCGAGTGTAGGTCATGCTACATCTTGAACTGACAGAAGTAGGAAATACGGACGATTGGGTTCCAACTTAATGGCTCAATGGTAACGTACTGGCCGCAGAACCTAAAGGTTGCGGGTTTGACCTATGGTGAGCTCGTGGGTGTGCACTGCTGGGGAGTTAAGAATTCAGGACGGAAAAGCTGTCCGGTGCTCCCAGGTCTCTAATGTTCCTCCAACTGATGTCAGTCCATGATGAATTCCAACCCAAAATCAATTAAGAAACCTCCAGACGGAATTCTTCATTGTTTGCTTGTTGACTAATTTCTAAGCTGAATAAACAAATCTCCATAATGAGATCAAGTTCTATTCAGGATTGATAATCACATGTTATCCTTGGTTAGTTGGTTTTCGTATACTGACGGAAGCTTGGGGGCGGTTAGTACTTTTTGGCGGTCCACATCGTCGAAGTTGTGTCTGTCTGAGAGAGAAAATCGATTAGAAAAATTGGTGTGTAGCCGTATATCCCAATAGACATCTGCTTAAGACCGGTAACATACAGTCCTTCTGAAAATTTGATTGCGTTGCGATCAGCTAGAAAACCCATAGCATGACACCGAAAGTGGGCAGGATAGTGGAGATTGTAATTTTTGGTCAACGTTTTCTACCCTAAGGAAAGTAGCATCAGCTTGGTATACTGCCGATCAGTGAGAAACATCTTACTGAGTCAGCCAGCCAGCAGTATGATCGGACTTCGAAGCAGTGGATTCCCGGTTTGAAACCCGCTTTGCCTTCTGAGGTCTAGGAGATAGGATATTATTATGAGTCCTGACACAGAATGTCTGACTGATAGTCCAGTGCATAAACCTGTGCCGCGCTGACTTATTAAGAACAATTACTTCAACTAGTATTGCTGATTGAGTCATTATGACGTGCAGACCCGGTCACCGCACCAAGGTAGCAGCTATCCTCAAACAATAAGTGTGGCCGATAGCCTAATACATGAAGCTATGCTTAACTTAAATGAATTATTTATTATTATTGTTAGTAATACTTATACTGAGTGAGCTCACAAAATCGATGAGAATTCTCTAAATTCCATTGTAAATATTTCACTTAACTTTCTACTTCATTTGGCACTGATATATTACGGGACTGAAATTCCTCCTTTACTATGACTAGTAGTACGACCTAAGTTTTCGAGCGATATCAGACTAGCAAACTATTAGCGATACGATCCTAACGTGCAAACGAATAGACTCTAACGTTAACTACAACAACAACAACAACAATACCACCGACTCCAGAAAATAAGAACTGAAAGCGGACCGCAAACAGACAGGTTTTTACTGTCTAAGCAACAGTCAAAATAGTTGACAGCGCTGCTGGATATATACATTTCTAAGTCATCTTGACAACACTAAATTCACATGTTGACAACCAATGAGAGTTCAGCCTTAAAAGGAGAGGGAAGAAAAACTAGTAATGGTGTAAAAACAGTCATGATAGGTTATTTTAAGGTCATGGGTGAAACATCGGGCAAAAGCTATGCAAAATTAGGGGTAAATAGCACCTTTTTCAGGAGGAACCCTAATTAACTTTGGGTTAAATTTACTGAAGACTGTTAAAATGGATAACATAAGCTTTACAATATGGTAGTAGATTGTAAATGATTTGAATTTCGGACCAATTCATCGAGTTCACGTATTTTATTACTATTTTACGCTTTTTACGACCTTTTTGTACTGAGTTGAATTGTTTTGGTTTTGGATCTGTAATAACTGTAGAGATTTTTAAAAATTTTGCAAGGAAACATTAAAAAATTTCATCAGACATTTTTTTTTATCACAATATGTTACTTGTGATCCAATTAGCTTATTAGTATAGCAGTAAAACTTAGGCACTGTTGTAGATTGTAATTCCATTTCAGTCTCTTTATTAAAAATGTCACACAGTGAAGGAACAGTATCATTTACTGGATAACATTTTGGGCACAATTTATTTATTGTCCATATTCATCATATCAAGTGACTCCACAACTTTGAGACAGACTTTATGTAGTCCTAATTTGCTCTCCTTCTTTGTGATGATAGACAGTAGAATTTCCCATATATCTGGGACAAGTTTGGAGATTAGTGTTTATTGAAAACCTTCGCATTCAAATCGCTACTTAGACTTCAAACCCCTCTACCCGATCTCATTTAAGGTAGGCTTAGTTAAATGCCTAAGTGATTCAGCGAAAAAGCTTACTAGCAGACCAGAAAATCTAGACACATCAAGAATATCTTACGTCTCAATCATTACCCACCCCCATTTTTTAGATAAATTTATAAGAAATCGAAAAATATTAGTAATAGCAGTAGTAATACAGGTGTTACTAATAGTAATTCTACTACTAATAGTAATAATGGTGACAGGGTTGAGCGAGAATTCAAAGCCTCTTGTATGTTACCATACAAGGAAGGCACCTCACAAGCATTACGAAAAATTCCTAATAAGGCTGGGATTGAAATGGCATTTAAACCAACAAACTGGCTTACAGCTTTGTGAGTTGAAAGATCCTACTGATCCAACTGGGCAAAGTAAATCTGGTTTATTGATTCCCTTGCAATGTTTGTGAGTTTAAGTGTATAGGTCAAAGTAGTCGATCAGTGCCAATTAGAATAATAGCACAAAAGCTTAGCTAGATCAATATTAGTAGATCCTAATAAGATATAAAATTTAGAGAAAGGCTCGACTATAGCTCTGCACACAATTACACAGTAGGGTGGGATGGAACAAAAGTGTTAAAAACTTAGTTAGATGGGGTGAGAGATTGATAACGGAATCCTTGTTTGTCGAATCAGCACCTAATAAAAGCAATTGAAATGATTCTTCCCCCGTCTCAGATACATGGAAAATCGTACTAGCCATATCACAAAGACGGTGAGCAAATTAGAACTATATAAAGTCTGTCTCAAAGTTGTGGAGTTGCCTGATCTGATATGAAGAAGGACAATGAGTGGATTGTAAAACGTAAGTGATACTGTTCCTTCACTAATGTTATTAGTGTAGCGTTTAACTTCAACGTTGAGCATTCCAGGCTAATATCACCTACAGGATACTAGTTTCCTCATCATCCTAGGAACACTTTTTTGGTATATGTCAACAAATATGAAATCTGGATCTAGCAGAGCTTCTTGATGACCGACTCACAATATTGAGTACCAAAATAAAGTGCACTGGATAACTTAGTATGATGGTAACACTAGAAAATTAATAGACAAACTTAAAAAAGTGGTTGAGGATTTTTGGTGAAATGGCTAAAAACCAGTCACAATGGCCCAGATCTATCCATTTTTTGATAGTCTTCTAAAACTTGAATGTTTTTGACTAACTTTTAGTTTTAAATTCCTTCTCCTTTGTTTACTTTGATTTCATTCTGCTTGAAATTTAGGCTATCAATTAAATTTTCCATTATCGACTTTGAGAAGGCCTTTGACAGCGTCGACCGAGAGGCAATTTGGAAACTGCTCCATTACTACGGAGTACCACAAACCTTTATCAGCCTCATTCAACAACTATATGAAGATGCCACATGCCAGCCAAGTAATTCACAATGGGAAGCTCAGTGATGCCACTGAAGTGAAGTGAAGACAGGAGTGAAACAAGGTTGCCTACTATCCCCCATGATATTCCTGATTGTGGTCGACTGGATCATGCAACAAACAGTGGGGAGTGAGAAGAGGGGGAAACACTGGCTGGACTGCGGAAAAGAACCTAGAAGATTTGGATTTCGCCGATGGCTTGTGCCTTATGTCACATAAACTTGAAGATCTATAGGCGAAAACTAACAAGTTGACAGAAGAGGTGAGGTAGGGCAACGAAGACGGGACTCACTTCAAGTGAATATAGAGAAGACAGGTGACGAAGATACCGCACCAACAACAACAACAAACTCCAATCGCCATCAATGGGAGAAACTTAGAGCAAGTAGCCTCCTTCACTTATCTAGGAAGCACTGTTTCAACTACAGGCAGCACAGGCACAGATGAGGACGTCAAAGCCAACTAGGATTGGAAAAGCAAGACAGGTCTGTGTTGATTAGCCTGAAACCAGTGTGGAGATCTTCTGCACTGCACTCAGCATGTGGAACAAGATGTGGATTTTCAACACCAATCCAGTCAAATCAGTGCTTCTGTATGGTTGAGAGACTTGGCGTGTTATGAAAGGGATTTCCTACAAACTATACACATTCATCAACAACTGCCACCTACTCTGGCTCGTTCATTACTCAAGATCAGATGGCCAGAAGGAATAAGCAACAAGCAGCTCCGGGAACGACCCAACGAAGCAAGAACCTATCACCCAACAAATATGCAGTGGAAGCAAGTGGAGATGGATTGGGCATACACTGAGAAAGCCGACTGCGGACATCATGCATCAAGCCCTTGAGTGGAACCCAGATGGGAAGCGACGAGTTGGGTGTCCGAGGTGAGGGTGACATGGAGGAGATGGTGTGAGGAAGAAATGAGGGCTTGTGAGCAGTCGTGGAGCGAGGTTCAAAAGATTGCAGAGAAGAGAGTGGAACGGAGATGTGCTAGTGAATCCCTCTGTTCCACTAGGAACCCAAGGGACTAATAATAATCATAATAATCAGACATATTATTATCTAATTCCTTCCTTTCAATTTCTTTTAATCCTCCAAGAGTACCACTTGCTGTTGGGGATTTTCGAAAATTTTTTAAACTATTCGTTTTTCAGAGCAATAACAAAATGAAGAGAAAATTGCATATTCGACAAAAATAGACTGTCGAATAGACTAAAATACACCATATTTCTTGAGTATAACTGTAAAACGTGGGCACCGTGGTAACGCACAGTGATACATTACTATTTACTTGATGATGTTTCAAGCATAAACTATCATTACTCATAATCATATCAATGTAATCACATCACTTTTAACATCTGCTTTTTACAGTTTTATCACCTCTTATTCTTTTCATTGGTAGTAAAGACTTTGGCGTAGGTGTTGCCTCATTTCTATTACATATGTTGGGTGTTGACTCGATGAACAAGGATTCAGTAATCACTCTCCCTCTATCTCTCTCTTCACATAACTATACTGGGCTTGAGTACAGTGGTTTTATCCCACCCTATTATGTGGCTGTGTGTGAATGGATGCATTGCAGTAGCCGAATGTTTCTCTAGATTCTTGACCTTTGTCCGGTCTGTCGTTCTATATTTAGCTAAATTCCTGTGTTTAACTATTCTGTCTGACCCCGACTAGCCGGACTAGCTTCACCTGTGTACTTCACATCTTAGTCATTATATGGAATTTGATAGATTACATTATTTTGCTAAATTGGTTCTATCGGATTCTTAAGCCAGCCGACAAAGCTTATCTCTGAGTGAGTTTGTAGGTTTAAGTACCCCTCTAATTCCAGCTTTGTTGAGGATCCTACTTAAAGTTTCTGATGTACCTTCCTTATATGGTAACATAATGGAGGCTGTGAACTCCTTTCTACTCGTGTTGTTGTTATTATTCTGAATAATATTCCAGATGCCTAAACAGTAAGAACGGGTTGCTTCATATTATTAACTTTGATGCTGTTATGATAACATCATTCAGACGCAATAATCATTTTCTTTGAAAATATTGTCTTGAGAGTAAATTCGTTATTTTATTACATTCTGAGAATTCCATACTGTATCAAACATATTGTTTAGAATAAAGTTATTATTATCTATATAAGGTGTATTTTTACTTGTGTAATACTAGCGTAGTATATAAGAACAAATAACAGAATAAACAAATATTTTGTATTATATTCCTTAACACTTTGATCTTACAAGGAAGATCCTCCTTAAGAGTATGAATCTAACATAGAGAAGTTTTCAGGTTAATATTCAAGTTTTGGGTACAGAAGGTGACCTTCACGATCAGCTACATGATTTATTCCGAATTTATTCATTCTTCAATAGTTTCCGGTGTTATTTCTCTTAATCGTATTGATCATGTCAAAAGATATTAGTTGTATTTTAGCCACTTATCTAATTTTGTTACGCAATACCTTATTAATCTACTATTTTCATCAATTTTTCACTCCTTTCCGAGTTATATACATCCTGTGAACCATTCTATATATATAGTATATAATCCATTTTGTTATCACCCATACTTCAATTGTTGTCAAAAGTACCTTTATCTTCATCACTATTACTATCATTATTGTTAATTATTATACATTGTTTAATGTTCAGATATTCATTATCATCTTGACTATCTCAGATGAACATGGTTTGACAGTCTTGTACTGATACTGGGTGATGATTGAAGGTGAAATGAAAATTTTGACCACGCCCGGATTCAAACCAGCGACCACCGGGTTCCCGGTCTGGTGATCTACCAACTGAGCTACAAGGCCCGCTCAAGTGGTAGTAACGCATCACAAATTCGCATGATAGTTGGGCAAAACCCTTGATGATTGAAGTGAAATCAAATTCTGATCAACAGTCGAACTTCGTAGCTCAGTTGCTAGATCATCGGGCCGGAGATGCTGTGGTCGCTGGTTCGAACATTCATCTTTCCAAAATAGTAATTTATTCTTTTTCACCCCTGATGACTCACAACCCCATTGTACTTCTCATAGTCGAAATAAACTTCCCCACCCTATTTTTGTCCCACGTTACTTCCACAACTGGAAAAAGCCTTTCTGACCAATTTGTTAATTAATTCACCTACATTATTTTGATCTTTGTTCCACATCACGATGTAAGTAGATAGTCGTAAAGGTCACCTTCTGTACCCGAAACTTGAATATTAACCTGAAAACTTCTCTATGTTAGATTCATACTCTTGAGGAGGATCTTCCTTGTAGGGTCAGTGTCAAGGAACATAATACAAAGTATTTGTTTATTCTGTTATTTGTTCTTATATACCCCGCTGGTATCATACAAGTAAAAACACACATTCGATGAATCACACTACCTTGATGACCAAGTTTTTTTCAAACCATCCAGTCTGTTGTTGGTCAGGGTTACGTTCAGTTAGCACATATAGTTGTCCAGAAAGAAATCATACACTCTAGATTGTAATTAACTATAGTTTGACCTACTTCCTTAATGTAACCGAAGCGCAGTTCAACTGATTGCTAACACCTGATTGCGAGAATTTGTACGTAAGGTTACTGATACGATGCATGAATTCTCTTAGTATCTAATCTATGTTACTGAATATATATGTTTATCGCCAGAGATCAGCATTTACTTCAAGCGTGGTCGAGCCCACCGGTCGCCACTTTGTATTCATGCGTCACTGAAGTGTAGTAACCAGTTTCGTGTTGTCTAGTCCTTAGATCTGACCGAGCTAAGAGGCCGATCGTTGCGGTGCTTTTTGATGGGTGTAATTTGATAAAAGGTAATGAGCAGGAAGCTCTGTTAGACCTCAATCTGGTACTTGGCGCCACTTTTCAGCTAGGAGTATCTGCAACCTTGAGGAAACTGATATTCCTTATGAGATTTGAATACGAGTTATCCTGTTCTTTGGTAGAATACGTTACCACTAAGCTAGTCGGATCTCTATTCACCTTCCGTAGGACTGGATTTGAGCTTCATTAAATCTCTCTTTACGATGGTTACTAGTGGGTAGTGAGCGTCTACTCGATTCAGTATGTTATGCTGATAATCTCCAAATTAGGACGAAATCACTGTCCAGTCTGTCAAAGTTTTTGGTAGTTCTGTTGACGATATCAACTCTTCGTAGAAACCACTTTAAAATCGATCAACCTTTTTATGAAAGAATCAGGTGGACAAACATTTAGCACTTGTTAAAGTAAAAAAAACTTACTATTTTAATTCTAGGAAAGTCGTTTAATAGCCAACCGGTTAACATTCCAATCATGTATGTTCCACAACGAGTATACGGTGTAACATAGATCTCATCCTGTGCTATTCTTTTCATATGCGCAGGTAGTTTGTGTGTAAGGAGGATAAAATGAACAATTATCATTATTATTATTACCATTATTATTATCATTATCATCATTAATATTATTATTGTTACTATTATTATTTTATATGAAGCGATGAAGCTATTGACGGTAAAAAAAATGACTTTGTGAACATAAAATAAGTCTGATTTGTTTAGATACAGTATTCGTCACGGACTGATATGAGTTGGGGAACCACTGAAAACCTGGTAGGACTGAACAGCTGTTTGGTTCTATTATGGGACTCCTCGGCAGTACGTTCCCACTGCTTGGCTAGTGACCGTACTCAGGACCCTCAGGTTTCATGGCGAACGCGTTAATTATTCAGCCAATGGGTTGGAGTTCAGTGACTTACAGTTTTCAATTTGCGTCAATTCTCCATATACAGTGACTATCACCCAAGGTCTTCTGTTGGCATCCACTTCCCTTCCTATCGGTTGACCTAACTGGTCCAGTACTCCCAGGTTTCCAATGGTTCCCCAACTGATGTCAGTCTTCATCCATCTCAAAAAGTTTAATTTGTGTTCCAATTCAGACTTTTTTTAGTGTAACTGTTGACTGTGACGACAAAATTATAATAGCAATCAGTTTAAGGGGAGTTAATTGATTTCAAGAAGAATTTCATCACCAAAAATAACATCAGTTACAAAACCATTAAGACTAGACAGTGACAGACAGAATTTCTAACTTCAAATGAATCAGCTGCCTAAGTCACTAACTAACTCCATCACTAGTCACTGGCTTCGATTATGGGCTTTTGAATATTCTAATATGATGAGGTTGTGAACTGTGAGATCAAATTTGTCTACAGCAAGTCGAGAATTCAGTTATCGTGAATTGACTGAATGAAGTCAAGTAAATTCTGACTGCTGTTTTGAAGACTAGTGAACGTGTCTTATAATGTTCTCGCTTTGAGAGATGAACATTTCATGAGTGATATGCACCTACCAGTAGGAAGTATTGATGCGTACTATCCGGTTTTGAGTGGTCACAAAGATTATTTCGTTCTGTGGTGATTACGTTTTTGAAATAAAATAAGGATGCTTTGTGCAAGACTACCCATAATGAAATCACTTGCCTGGATTATTGTTGTGATCATGATTTTATTTGAATCTCCAGTGTCTAGTTTATTCAAGGGTTCATATCCCCTTGAAGTGTGTATAGTTCGCCCTCAGTATTTTCAAGATTTATGAGATTACTGTCCTTGTTGTAAATTGAATAAAGAGAATCAAATCAACCATACCTGATATATCATGGTAAATTTGGTGGTAATTATTAATATTTTCCTAATGAGAAGTGGATATAGTTTAGTATATGAATCATTCAATAAGGCAACTCTAGGAAGTACCATTAACCCTGACAAAACATATGTGGCTGATTGCCTACTGCACGAATGTACAAAAGGTTACTGAGTGAATTTCCATTCATTCTGACAGTCCACTACAAAATTGTGTCATTTAGCTTAGTGACCAAGTGACGAAACTTAAGAAGAGAATAACGTACAAATTAGGACATAACGGATGTATCGGGTACCATTTGATGATTATTACTTGTCAGTAATCCAACTCTGTAGTGGGTATGTTTTAACGCAGTTTTGAACTCACTGACTTCAGCGTTGATTGATGTCACTTTGAATTTCCATGATAACATCAGTTCCCTTGAGCTGACGGGCATACCTTAGTAGACAGTAAATCTAAGTACAGAGCTTTCAGTTTACGTAGTGTCTAATAATTTTTCTTTATTTTATTTGTGCTCTGAAGTTTCTGTAGCGGTTGATTGGTTTTGCGGGGTAGGGTTGCTAGCTCTATGCTCAACCTTCCCTGTTTACCCGGGCTAAGGACTGGCTAGTAACTAGTGAACTAGTTAACCAGGCGGCAAAACAGTATACCGCATCATCCTGGAGAGACTAAAGGATGCGCTGGATTCAAAACTACGGCCAGAACAGGCTGGATTCAGGAAGTACAAATCATGTGAGAACCAAATTGCAGCGCTACGCATCATCATAGAACGGGGCATAGAATGGCAGTCAACTTTCTACCTCAGGATCGGAAAAGCAAGACAGGTCTGCGTTGATTAGCCTGAAACTAGTGTGGAGATCTTCTGCACTGCACTCAGCATATGGAACAAGATGTGGATTTTCAACACCAATCCAGTCAAATCAGTGCTTCTGTATGGTTGAGAGACTTGGCGTGTTACGAAAGGGATTTCCAATAAACTACACACATTCATCAACAACTGCCGCCTACGCTGGCTCGTTCGTTACTCAAGATCAGATGGCCAGAATAATAAGAATAAACAACAAGGTACTCTGGCTGGCTGGCTGGCTGGCTGGCAACGAACTAACCAAGCACCTATCACTCAACAAATATGCAGTGGAAGGAAGTGGAGATGGATTGGGCATATACTGAGAAGACCGACTGGTGACATCACGCGTCAGGCCAGTCACTCGAGCGGAACCCAGATGGGAAGCGACGAGTTGGGTGTCCGAGGTGAGGGTGACATGAAGGAGATGGTGTGAGGAAGAAATGAGGGCTTGTGGGCAGTCGTGGTGCCAGGTTCAAAAGATTGCAGAGAAGAGAGTGGAATGGAGATGTGCTAGTGAATCCCTATGTTCCACTAGGAACCCAAGGGAAAAATTATAAACTAATAAAATAGTGTCCAATAAACAATAAGTTTTTTACAGTGACTCGTGTAGTAATTTGCATATATGGCAATATCAACATCACTTGATAAGTTGGACTGTAAGAGAAAGTGTAAGAGGTCTACTTTTTAGATATGTAAGCGTTGAGAAGCAATTTTTATGCTATACTTATCAAGAATATTTTCTTTTAGGTAAGATTCTTTAAATGATATCATTGAAAATGAGGATATGTTTTATGAATAGTACTAAGCTTACACTTCTTTTAGGCTAAATATTTGTTGGCATGACGTAAGAGGTTTCATTTCAGAAGCCTTAACTTGAATTTCCATTCAAATCTCTACAGTTGTGAATTCCTTAGAATCAGAAATAGCATATTATCAACTATCATCTTGAATGTGATACATTTAAATAAAAACTTGATACTATTTTCAAAGTAAAGGGTAACTGATTAGCTAAACAGCTGTGATAATTATTGCATAAATTACTAACACATTTTATACAGCTGCAGAAAAGTTGTCCAACTCTGTAGTAATGGAACAGATTCAGTTTTTCATACACTATTAAAACAAGCTACTTAATTTCCTGACTGCAGTTTTGTATTTTACTTTATAAAGATTCTTAAATGGGTAATTAGAAGCTAGTTTTGGACATTCATTTGATTATAAGAAACAGTTGGGGGGGGGCAGTAGATCACCTAAAGTACTATACAGAGAACTTTATATCATGTTCCAAGCATCTTTGGACTTTTTTGATAGAATTATGATCCGTCTAACCTACTTGTTGCCCATAAGGCAGAGTTGCCGATGACTATGATGGCAGTGTCTCTTATTGAAAAGGGTACCGAACAAATACCACCCTATTGAAGGATTTTTACTCGAACACCTGTGGGCATGTTAGAGCCTATGGTGAGATATCGGGTGAATTATGTGCATCGAGTGGTGTCGAGTGGGATGCGCACTCTCTCCATTCTTATTCAATTTTATCATAGATGTTCTTATGGAGATTTCTTTCTCGACATCCAACTACACAGGGACTAACCTAATCACAGGAGAATTTTCGGTAGACCTAGAATACGCCGATGAAATAGTCCTGTTAGGTGAGGATGTTAACGAGATACAGAGTCTTCTGAACACCTTGAGTTACAATTTGAGAATGTTTGAGATACGTTTCTTGTCACCCAATTGAAAATTGTTTCTCTAGGACTGGTCTTAAACGGTACCAAGACTAACAATAGAGAATGAAGTGATTGAACGCGTTGAACACTCCACTTGTCTGGTAAGCCGGATCAGCCCTGGTGCATTGATACAAAAGGCTCCGTTGACTCTTGCCAACTTACGCCACCTGTGGCCCCACCGCGATATCCGACTGTCTATTAAGGGTCGAGTGTACTGTGCTGCAGTCCTCTCTGTCCTGCCGTATGTCTGTGAAACATGGCCATTGCAGGTGGAAGACATGAGAAGGCTTCAGGTGTTTGACCACCACTGCCTTCGTAGCATAGACCGTGTTTCGTGGTGTCACCATATGAGTAATGCAGAAGTCAGATGTAGAGTTTTAGGCAGAAAAGGTAAGTCAGTTGATGCTGTTGTGAACTTTTATCGGATGGACGGCTAAGTTCAAAGTAATAATTTTCTAAGGTGGTTAAAAGCAACTTGTTTAATTAACGTGAAGGAATAATAACAAAAACTTACTGCATAATATTATAGGAATTATTGTAAGCTACAACATAAGTGATAGCACAAGATGTTGTGATTAGTGAAAAGGCCAAAATAACTCCTGCTATTCGTTTCCTAGAAATAAGATTATGCAAAAATATTTAACCTCTTTACGGTCACTAAGAATGAATGAAACAAAAATATTGAGATATGGTCAGAAGGTAAAGTTTCATAGTTTAATTCACACAGCACCAAACGTGTAATTCAGAGGCAGCTGATATGAATGGATCTTGTCAAAACAGAAGTTTTCGTTCCAACTTGAGTTATCGTCTCATTACTTAAGACTACTGTGCTGAAGTAATGCTATGTTAGGTGATCTCACAAGAAAAGACAGCAAAACTACTGTTAACACGGTTTAATAAATAAGCATATATAATATCATAGGGCATATAGAACTAACTAATGTTAGTAAAATGGAAGGTTCTATGATAGATCTTGATTTACAATATCAATGAAGTTGAGTTAGTGATAAAATGTCCTGCATAACATTATTCGGGTTTGAAATTCCGTAAGCAATTCGCAGCATACTCTTGAATATTTATACATTTCTTTGCAAAAAGAAGTCATACGAAGCACCTAAAAGTTTACCCCTTGTGGTTTATTTCAACCTGTAGATCTGGCTGGCAAACAAAATCAAATTGACTTACATCAATCGGTATCATTTAATATTGCACCTCAACCTCTTCATAAGTAGTTTTCTGAGATTGGCGTAAAAAGAAGAAAAAATGTACCTAGTTGATATCGATTATTTGTTTCATGACATAAATTTCTGTGGAAATAGTTCTGGTTGGGGCTTCTTCAAAATCTTTTCAAATTTTCAAAAGATATTCCATATCGCAACGTTTATTCGATACAGCACACAGCAATACAATATATAGATGATGTTTCGAGCAGAATTTATTGCTCACATTCATATTAAAGTAACCTTACAACTTTCAAACTTCATTTATATAGTTCACCAATTCTTCATTCCTTTATTTCTATGGTAGGAGAGTTTTCCATATATCTGGGATATTTGATGAATCATTCCTGTCATATGTGTTAGATGTTAATTCTGAGTTCAATCTCTTCTTCCATCTAGCTATATTGGGTTTGAAAATCATCACCCTATGGAACCAACCTATAGTGTGATTATGGGTCAGTACATGAAGGACCATAGCTGAGTTTTTCTCTAAGTTACTCATCTCAATAGGGATATATCAGTCTGTTTGGCTATATTGTTGTGTTCCGCTATTCAGACCAACTGCGATCGGCTGCTTGTCCTTATATACTTGTCCTCCCAATCATTATATAGAGTTTGATAGATAAGCTTAATTTGCTTAGGTACCCTTACTGAATCTTTTAGCCTGCAAAGTTTCTCTCCGAGTGGATATGAACTCTCTCTTACACATTTTGCAGTGACCATCAATATTATCGTTTCTTCTGCTACAGGTTCTTATAAATATCTCAACAAATTCTTGAGGGTAGTTATTAATTATGGTAGTGTCTCATCTTTGTGTTTCATTTCCTTATTTAGATTTCCTGATTTGCAAGTCAAACTACTCGTTCGATTACTTAGACATTTTATCTAGGCTACCTTAACAGATATGGGTAGTGAGATGATATGAAATCTAAGTATCTAGTCGAATATGATGGTCTTTTGTAGACATTTGAATCTAAGTTACTATATTATCTTCTTTTAAGCTTGCAATCCAACATACATAATACTTTTTCGTCATTTTCTGATTTACTAGTAAATTAAAATTGAATTAAATATGTTAATTTGTGAAAAACTCAGGATATTTTCTGATTTCAACATAGTAAATGTCTCACCTGCATATCACCACCATACTTTTGAGGTGGATTGTCGATATGAGTTAAGAGAACCACATAGATAGCTTGAGAAGCCAACACTTCATTTGTGTTCAGTAAAACTAACTTAAGGAAATTATGGTCATCGATGTGTACAGAGGAAGTTGTTTGAAAGTTACCCTTTTTATCATTATTGGTCTCAAAACTATCCACTGATTGATTCAGTATGTACAAGTATTTTTATGAAAGGATAGCTTGACATTCTCTGTAACAATAACTGGTATAGTTTTATACCTAATCCTTATTTGAGAATGAAAATTTAATTCAATCCATTATGCAGCTAAATGTTTGATATTACACCTGTTGAAGTGTTGTCGTGAAAATTTGTAAGTGTGGTTGAATAGAAACTTGGAGGTAATCGATGCGATGGTCCATTTTGATTTCGGCAGTTGATTTTCAAGCAGTGGTGCATTGATTTGGAACCCCTCTAAACGTACCTCACCTGGTTAACTAGTTCACTAGTTGCTAGCCGGTACTAAGCCTGGATGAAGAGGGAAAGTTGGGCATAGAGCTAGCAACCCTACCCTTGAAGAGCATCGAGGGCTGTCTCTCATACAGTGGGAACCAATCTCCTCATGAAGGATTAGGATCATGACAGTAAGATTCAACTCGAAAGGAAGGAAAGTCACAATCATACAATGCTACTCTGCGCACCTACAAATAATGCAGATCAAGAGAAGAAGGAGAAATTCTACAGACAACTGCAATCAGTACTGGACAAGACCCCACACATGATAGAGATATCAAAATTCTAATTGGTGGGGTTGATATGAATCTCAAACTGGGAGCAGACAACACAGGAAGAGAACTCATCTATTATGGGTCGAGAACCACTCAGTGAAATGATGAATGAGAATGGAGAACTGTTTGCAGACTTCTGTGCATTTAATTATTTGGTGATTTGAGGCAGTGTGTACAAACACAAGAATATCCACAAAGCGACATGGATTTTAGAAGACACTAGCACACACTAAAAACCAGGTCGACTTGATCTCAATGTGAAGAAAGTGGAGATGCAGGCTACTGGACACAAGATGAAGAAGGGGAGCAGATGTAGGTTCACACCACTCACTATCTAGTGCAAGGAACTTACCTTCAAAATCAAGTTGAAGGCCTTGAAAGAAGTTGGTGATAGACCACAGTTCAAGTTCAACACCCAGAAAAGAAACTGAACTGAAGGACGAAACTATGAAGGACATCTTCACATCATCAGTCATCAGGACATAATGGGAAATATTGAGCAACATCCCTGAAGGATTGGGCGTGGAAGAACACTGGAACTCTGTGAAGGAGACGTGAAAGGAAACCTGCATAACCGTGTTAGGAAGGTAGAAGAAACAAGAACATATAATGAATGGATCTCGATGGACACATGGAAGCTGATAGAGGGGAGGAAGACGGTGAAGCAGAAGATAAACCAATGCGAAGATGAACAACGAAAAGAGGAAGTGAGTACAACGTATACAACACTACACTGGACAAAGAAGTGAAGAAGAGTGCGCGCAAAGACAAAAGACACTTCTACGACACACTGGCAAGTGAAGCAAAACAGGCTACTGATAGGAGAGACAGATACCAGACAATACCATATCTATGCAGACGTAACCAATGAAAGGTGGTGAATGAAAGAGGAGAAACAAACGAAACAATGGACTGACCACTACCAAAATCTCTTGAATCGACCCGCAACTCGTCCTGAAATACCACCAGCAACGACAGAACTACCAGTGAACACAGGCCATCTGACAAATGCAGAAGTCCGGAACGCCACAAAGTTCCTGAAACCCAGGAAAGCAGCAGGACCAGATGAAATTTCTGCCAAAAGCACTGAAAACAGACATAGAGACGACAGCGGACATGCCGAGACCACTACTGCAGAAGGTTTGGAAGGGAGAAAGGAAAGGTACCTGCAGATTGACTGGAAGAAGGGCTACCTTGTCAAAATTCCAAAGAAGGGCGACCTAAGTCTCCGCAGGAACTGGCACGAAGTCATGCTCCTGTCCACCCAAAACAAGCAAAATATTAAGCCGCATCATCCTGGAGAGACTAAGTGATAGGCTGGATTCAAAATTACGACCGGAACAGGCTGGCTGGTGTCAGGAAACACAAATCATGTGCGGATCAAATTCCAACGCTTCACATCATCATAGAACAGAGCATAGAATGGCAGTCAACCCACTACCTCAACTTGATCGACTTTCTACAGGCCTTCGACAGCGTCGACCGGCAAGTAATTTGGCAGATGCTGCTTCAACACTACAGTTTTAGTGCCACAAACCTTTATCGATCTCATCCAACAGCTATATGAAGACGCCACATACCAAATGATCTACAATGGAAAGCTTAGTGACGCCTTTGAAGCGAGACAGAAGTAAGACAAGACTGTCTATTATCATCCATGATCTTCCTGATTGTGGTCGACTGGACTGGATCATGCAGCAGACTGTGAGCAGCTGTGAGAAGATGGGCATATGCTGGCTGGACCGATGAAAAGACCCCAGGAGATTTGGCTTTCACCGCTGATGATGACTGATGTTTAATATCACAGAAACTCGAAGATCTACAGGCGAAAACTAACAAGTTGACAGAAGAGGCCGGGGAGGGAAGACAGGACTTCAAGTGAATGTAGAGAAGATAAAGGTGATGAGGATACCCAGCCAACAACAACGAGCACCAATCACCATCAACGGGAGAAACCTACAGAAATTTGCCTCGTTCACCTACCTAGACAGCATCGTTTAGACTACTGCAGGCGGCAGCACAAATAAGGGCGTCAAAGCCAGGATCGGAAAGACAGCAAGACAGGCCTTCATTAATCTGAAATCAGTGTGGAGATCTATTACTCCACACTGGACTCAGCATAAAGCGTGAACAAGATCCGGATTTTCATCACCAACGTCAAGTGGGTGCTCCTATATGGTTCAGAAACTTGGCGTGTTAAACAAATCATTTCCAACAAACTACAGACATTCATCAACAGCTGCCTACACTCCTTGCTGAAGATCAGATGGCCAGAAAGAATAAGCAACAAGGAACTCTGGGAACAATCCAACCAAGAACCCATACAGGAGAAAGTGAAGATGGATTGGGCATACACTGAGAAGGCCCACTGGGGACATCATGCACCAGGCCCTTGAGTGGAACCCAGATGGGAAGCAATGAGTTAGATGTCCCGTCTGAGGGTGACATGGAGAAGATGGTGTGAGGAAGAAATGAGGGCTTGTGGGCAGTCATGGTGTCAGGTTGAAAAGATTGCAGAGAAGAGAGTGGAATGGAGATGTGCTAGTGAATCCCTATGTTCCATTAGGAACCCAATGGACAAATAATAATAATAATAAACGTACCATGGTTCCCGCATCCAGATAGTACCATTTACCCTCACTTAATAAGTGTGACCCTTTACTAATCGACGTGGTTAAGAAAAGTTTGACATGAACATTGTTAACAGATGCAGATTGTGATCTTAGGGTGCTCTGTGTGTCAGGCAGGAATGGCCGCAAAAACGACATGACAAAAAATGCATCAGAGTTGCTTATTTTCAGTGGGTATTCATGTTCTTCTCGATTATGAAATTTCTTATGTCTTTCTTTATTTCAGCTCTTTCTCACCTCATTCCATGTCAAATTACTTTGACGTTACTTATGTTCTCCTGATTCCCATATTTTTTTTCCGTTGCAAAACACGGCAACTTAATACGTTGATTAGTGATTGGAGAGTAACCAATTTCATACTACTTAGTTGTGAGTTGTGACAGAACTAAATCGATCATTTTTGCAAGTCGGGCGTTTGTCATCATGGTGCACTTTGATAGTTTTAGTTAGTCGTGGTTGGGTGATTGACAAGAAACCTTGCTTAACCCAGGTTTCGTGCTTTTTTGGCACTTATCAGCAAGCCTTGTCTGCATCCTTGTAGTAACCGACATCTGCCATGAGGATGAGTCTACTGGTTTGGTGAGCCCCTTTAAAGTGACCAACAGAGTTCGATCAGCACTCAGGGCTAGATAATATGAAATTGGTTGCTCTTTGGTGACTAATCAGTGTGTGTGTTACAGCCCTACATGAGGCCGACCATGACTCTAGTAGCTAAGTGGCAACGTCACTGACCCCAGTACTGGGTGACATGAGCTCCAATCTCTTAGGGGACATCAATTTTCTCAAGGCTGTAGATGTGGCTTACAGACAAGTACGAACAAGCAGGAAACAACGATTCTTCAGGTCTTACTGTCAATTACCATCAACCAATTAACATATGACAACTCGAGTCTTCTAGTGATAAAACATCTTGAAAATTACTGTATTCATTGAATAAGCATTGCGAAATCCTGAACCTTCGCTAAAAACTCTTCAGCAGAACTTTGGTAAATCAGTTTATTGGAAGAAACCAGTGACCTTGAGTCGTATCTGATGGATAAAAATTAATTCAGCTATATGAGTTACATCTGACTGGTGGATATATGTGTTCAAACAGACAAGAAGGGGGATACTGAAAACGACCGTATATTTATGCTTTGTTTCACCTACATGTTATCCGTGTTTTCTTGGACTGTGTCTATCCGAACTTTCGATCTTAAGTCACGTAAATAGTTAGGAAATATCTTATAAAACTTACCACATAAGTAAGGTTATAAAAATTGGCGCCAGAATAATTGTGAATTGTATATCATTTGCAATGTACCAAGACCATTTTAAACACTAAAACAGAATTTGTACACAATAAACAATGTCAGTTTGACCATCTAAGATAGCTATGATTTGGCAAACATTTTATATTGATACTGGGTAATGATTGAAAGTGGAATGAAAATTGAGCCACAGCAGAATTGAAACCATAGACCTCAGTTGGCAGAGCACAAAGCCAGAAACCCTGGGGTCAATGGTTCTAATCCTACCGAGACCCGTTTTTATTTCCCTCGGCAATCATCATCCAGTACCAATAAAAAGTGTGTGTGCCTAAATTTGATCAACATCATATATATATATATATATATATATATCATACAGAAGAAGAAACTAGGCTACTGACGAAAATTGAGAAGCAATGATGTTTAGACGCGTTTCCATTTCATATAAATGACACAAGCAACATGTAAGCAGAGTCAGTATGCCGTCAGAGTTAATGACAAAGTCGTTTAGATAATACTCAAACAAAATGCCTCAGGTGTGTAGGACTATCAGCTGAGTAACTACGAATGGCTCTTTGCTAACACACTGTAAAAAGCCGGATTCTTAGCGTTCTCTTATTTGTCTGTGACAGCTTCCCATTAAACCAAAATCTGTCTGGTTTTCCATACAGCTAGACAGTTTAGTTGATTTGTAAGCTATTTGGACTATTGGATTACGTTTTGAATACACTTCACTGTTCATAGTCAAGATAGTCCCACAAATTTGAGATATGATTTGTAGACTTCTAATTTTCTCTCCTGTTTTGTGTTACTGGTAGGGAGATTTTTCATGTATCTGGTAGAGTTTCTTAGTCATCATTGTTACATGTATTCGGTGTTGATTAGATGAACAAAAATTTGATTCTTGGTGATGACTAAAGGTGAAGTGAATATTTAGGAGGATCCGATCAACCGGCCATCGAGTTTCCGGGCCAGTACACTACCAACTAAGCTGAGACCCGACTGTTGACCATACTGTGATTTTAATTCAATCACTTAAGGCTTTGTCCGAATGCCATGTGAATTCATGGCGCGTTACTACCACTTGATCCTACTCACATTGGCTGCCAAGTCAAGACTTTTCGTCTCAATCCAAATGGCACCGGGTCGGAAACCCGGTGGTCTGTGCTTCAAACTCTGCCGTGGCTCAAATTCGCATTTCACCTTCGATCATCTCTCAGTATCAATACAAGTCTGTCAAACCACTGCTATCTGAGATAATCAAACTGGTATAGATCTTACTATCACTCCTCCACGTCCTACAGAGCACTGATTTGTTCGGATACACAGCAACACTTGCAACACAGATTTACTTATCGGCGGCCGACACTTGTCATATTTATATACCTAAAAGCGGAATTTGGTTATTTCTGTCAACTATGAGTTGTTGTGGCAGTGTGAGACTGTGAGAAGAGAGCTAAGTAATAATATGATGCTAACCATAGGTCTTTTCTAGAACTCACACATCTGTGTAAGGGCTTACTGTAGATTGTCATCAAAATCAATGACAACTCGAGGTGCCTGGCAGGGATTCCGGTCCATCTCGTCATACGTCTGTAGGACACTAATTGTAGAAGATATTAAGTGGTTTCAGGTTTTCGATCCCGGGCGTTTTCAAAGCCTTTCTTATGTATAGTAGGATCACCATATGAGCAATATTGAGGTCAGGCGAAAGGTACTAGACAAGGAAGGCAAGTCAGTAAATGAGGTTGTGAACCTTCATCGATTGAAGTGGCTTAGATATGCGGTGCATATACTGAGTCACCGCCCAACTCAACTTGTTATGCTACGAGGTCGGATTAGTTTGGAATAGTGTTCAGGGTAGCCAGACTATGATATAATACCAGTGCATGAATTCCCTGACTATCGATCTGGGCTGTGTAGAGAGGTGGTCCTCGAGACAAAAGGAATCAGTGAATGAGGACTGTTAGTGCAGTGGCTGAAAATCGGTCAGTCCCAATGGCGCAAATGCATCCATTCTTTGACGTCTTTTAAAACTCGAGTGTTTTGACTAACCTTCATTTTTAAATTCCTTTTCATCTAATACACCTTTTTCTTCTTTGATACTTGTCCTTTCTATCCAATTGTTCTTTGTATGCTGCTGTGAAGTGTTACAACTGGAACTGACACATTTGTGTGCAAGATTCTATGTTGATTTTGTCTGTCTGTTCGCCTCTCTGGCATCTTTCAACCCACAAAGCCTCTTCCTGAGTGAGGTTTTAGGTTAAAAAGGTAGTCTAATCTCAGCCTTACTGAGAATTCTCCGTAACTTTCCTGGGGTACCTTCCTTCTATAGTAACACTGTGGAAGGTTTAAATACTCACTTCACTTTTTCTGCACTATTATTATGATTATTATTATAAGTGACATATATTACCACTACTAGTCATATCTTTTTCCATTAACTAATGAACACATCGTTTGATATAGGAAGGTAATTATTAATGAGTAAGGTTTCCTCAATGCACCTAATCTCTTGCCCCAGATACTCTAATTCTATCGACTGTCTATATAGTGACCTAAAGGTACATATATCTCAGCGGTAATCAATTCAAAAAGATTTGCTCAACCTGCGAACACTGCTCTAACAAATATATTGACAATTAATACAAATGCATGTAGAAGTGTAGGAAATGGTTGAGGCATTCATAAATAAGATCCTTCTGATGAAGTATTCGGACAGTAAGTGATCTTGTAATCATCCCGACTGACAGTGTAAGGAAACTGAGAATGCCTGCTTCTTCAAGGAAATGAGAAACCTTGCTTCAGAACTGGACTAAATTAGGGTCTTGTTGCGGACGAGTTAGGAAAGTTGTTGGAAACACTGATGACTTGACTTATGCCTAAAGTCATACCAACCTTCATGGGTTGATGGATGATGAAATTTCAGTACAAATAAAAAATATTCACCTGACGTTTCTGGAATTATGCTTATTGTTATCTGACAGACAGACAAATGGAACCCATGTATACTTCTCTTTGTAAAGGGTCGAGTAGGTTCGGTAGAATTGAACTTTATCCGATTATATGACTATGAAATTGGACCAGTTATGATGGCATAAATGTGTTACAAAAGCTTGGCTATTTTGTCTGCATTCTATCCAGAACATAGGCGGGATTCATTGTGTAAGAGATACAAATGTCAGGGTACAGGCAGACCAAAGAGGCGGTAGGCCTTCATTAGCTGAGCAGGCGTTACTTACACCTATTTGCTGCTGTTTCCAAAATAAAGTCTTGTCTGTGGTAAGATAGAAGTCAATTCACCTCATGGTGGTCCGAGTAACACCAGATAAGTAGAAAATCTGGACCGGCAAGCCAATGTCTTTTGTACTACATTTCATGCGATGTCGTCTTGTAACTACCGAATTTGATATTCTTTTAAACCTTTTACCCAGCAAGCTTCCTTTCACGAGATTTATTATTATTCAAAGTTCACTCACATAAAAACTGTTTTATGATAAATTTTTATAATGTAGACGCCGGTCTGAATCTTGAAGGGGACATCACTTCCCTCGAGGATGCACATAGTCCATGCTGATGAGTCCTAATAAGTATGAAACATAGGCAGAACGGAGCTTCTTACCGATTGTCTTCAACCAACTAATGTAGAAGGTTTTAGAAGGTAGCCTAAGCCACAAATGATTGGCTGACTGTTTTATTTGTTTAAATACACTAGAATTGCCAATCTTCTCAAATTCAGATTGCCCTAGGAGTAAAAAATTAAAACTCTTCTCTGGGTCTACACGTGGACGACAATGCGTTACACAATACCTTGAGTAGATCCGCATTTAAACGCATCAGTATCTGAGTGTACAAATTCCTTGGTTATTTTAGTAACAATTGAAAAAAGGTATGATAACTTACCATACTTTCTGAATGAATTAAATTGTTCAAGTACAAAATATACCAGTGGTTTCGACAATTAGCCATCACAGGTGTATGAATGTCTTGAGGAAAAAATGGTCCATCATATATGTGGTTTAATAAACCTGTGAAGATGACTATAGTCAACAAGTAGGCCGGAGTAAGTCTAACGGCAATCAGCGAGAAAAATAAAAAGTTATGAGATGAGTATTATGAGCAACTATTGGCTAACTGAGTCAGTGGATTTATTTCTAAGATTCTGAAGCTGTTTTCATAAATAGTGTAACTGTATTCTGTACGAAAAAATAACTTGAAACTCTACAGGAAACTTCAAAAATAATCGACTTGGTTAAATGAATAGGGCACATTTCGGTAACCGATGTAGCGGTTTAGTCCTTAATGCCTTAATGTCCTTAATGTCTATCGAGCAAACGAAGCACACTCACATGAACAATATGAGTAGTTTGAAACCACTCAGTTTGCCAGCTAGATTAAAGTGATTTAGTCTCCAGACGGCCGTTTCTACAGACCAGCCTAAGTGATTTCTAACTACTCTAGTTGTCCAGTACTATAATATTTCATTACTTCGTGACACTTGTATCTCAGAGATCACTCACACCTTGTTATCCTGGTTGCAAAGTGGTTTCCAACAGCAACTCTGTTGACATCACAGTTGGGCAGTCGGAAAAGACTTCTTAACGGTGAGATATGTCAATGTGGACTTTGCAGTTTGTAAACCATTTGCAAACTCATCATTCTATCGAACAAACTTGATTGATAAACTTTAGTTAATGCTGAACACATAAGACTTGACATCTGTATCGGTTACCATCTCATCACCAGTTCATGCAAATAATCCAGAGAGTCAGTAGTGATCTGCGTAGCCTAGCGATTGATTCTCTGACTTCAGCTCCGGGTGAAGCCAGCCTGAATCGCTGTCAGTACACCAGCTTCACTGTGATTACTGATGAGTGTCAACACGCGTGAAACCTTTCGGCTGACTGTTACCATTTATTACCAAAATCAATTTGTCTCTCAACTATATGGTTACTTGTCGTTTAACTTATTAAAGTCTTAACCATCATGAACAGTTTATTGTCTAGCTAACCAGCTGAAACTTAAGGATTCGCAGTTTCAAATTCAGCTAGTTTCCTGTTTCGAAGCCTTCCAATTTCCTTGATCAATACTTTTCGCTAGGTGATTCAAGAGTCATTATAGATCTAGTGCTAAAATGAGCAACTGGATTTCCAATAAACAGAATGCTTATCGAGCTCAGTTATATTCGTTTCTGTATAGTATGCGGAAAATTGTACAGCCAACATTCTTGAGCATTCAGTTTCGATTCACTAACATTTTAGTTATTAAAAATATGAAGGTGTACAGACACGATGACTTTTAGGCTGTTAGCTAGGAGATAAAGAAGATGTTGCACATTTCAAATTCTGGCTAAAACGAAATGCATCCATCTGTGTGGTAGGTACCAATGTCATGTAATAAAAATAAATCCTGTCTTTATATTTGGACAGTTGTTGTAAGCGGCATAATTATTCAACATTTGATGCTCAATAAACAGTTTGCATCAATGGTGTAGACGGCATAAACAGCGCCTAATCTATTAAACATGCACTTAGTGTTTACGTTAGATTTCTGGTTAGTTAATTCTCAGTTCAGTCCCAGGGCAAATTATAAAGTCACTTCAAGAATAGGAAAAAGCAGCTATCAGGTGAACTTTAGTTTTCTAGGTCTTTCACAGTTTACAATTTCGACCAAATGTCAGCGACAGTACGGGCGATTTTTAATTAGACTTATATGCATAGAAACAATGTATATAACAGGCCTTGAACTCCTACTAACTTGGAAAGCCCCAAAATCCAGGACATCTACCCATATCTCCTTAGCTGGGATGACAGTGAGTACCCGGTCTGGGCTATCTCGTTAAGACCAGATGCATCCTCAACTTATCACTCAGTTGGTCTCAGCTCCCTTCTTACTGTGGTTAGACGACAGTCAGTTCGAGAATTTGAAAAAACAGCTAGCAAGTGAATAATAAGTTACCATGATCTCCCCCCCTCATTTAGTTTCTACCTTTTAATGAAGAAAAAAGTTAAAATCTCCTTCCGATACAGTTCAAAGAACCACTGTCATACTTACCTGATGAAACGATGTAATGCTACCATTGACCAGAACTGAATGCGCTTTTTGATACCGCTGACATGAGACAACCTTTGCAGGCATATGTAACACATTAGTAGACCCCTGAATATCAGGAAAACAATAAGTGGATACTATAACATATATATACAGGAGTAGACAGTTTTACTGCAGGGATACTGTTCTATCGGGAAGAATTTCAGTCAACTTGGGAGTCAAAAAATCTACATAGTTAGGTTCTGTCATTGTGAGACTATCTTCAGCAATTCAGCCTAACATCTTAAAAATATTCTAGATGGTGAGTTTAAGAAGTTTAGGCTTTTTTGATATCAAATCTTTCATTCAACAATTGAAGGGTATCAATAAAAAATTCTGGACCTAAGTTTCATGTTTATTCGTATCCACTTGAGAAACTTTCCTGGGATTTGTTTAAAATCAATGTTTCTCCAAAGAATTTTATCCATGACACTAATCTTTTTCGTTAGAGATATCCTCATAACTAGTTACCTATAAGCCACCATTTCTTATTCTGATGGAATTTTGGGGGGCAAAACAACCTTAACTTAGATAGTCTTTAGTCCTGGTTAAATTCAAACTTTTGACGATATCAAATCACACATCACGATATCAGATCAAGTAGCTAGATTGCAAAAATTAATTGAAATTATTCTGTCAGCACCAAGAATAGGATAAAATTTATTGTACTTCAGTGAATCCATGGGTGATATTGAATAGTGATTGAAACCAGTTTATAGGGTCACAAACTGGATAATGCAATTTTTTACTCTTAAACTGACAGTGTTCCTAAACAGCTTCCAATATCATTACCAGGCGCTAGTTAACCTTAGTAATACTTCAAAGTGTATGCAATAATCTATCCTTACTGTTTATTCGCTGTTGTTCTGAATGAAACTATTTTTTCAACTTACATTTTCTAAGTACTAGCAATTATGATTCCATCAACATATTTCAGAAGGATGTTCACATGAAATTATATCTTCCTATGTGAGGGGAACTAACAACGTAAGATGGTTGGAAAGAATCGATAGGAAGTGTTGCTTGACCCAGATTTCGTGCATTTTGGCACTCATCAGCAAGGCATACCTGGAAATTACGAAGTAACTGATGTTCCCTGAAGAGTTGGAACACGTGTCACCCAGTGCTGGAGTCAGGGAGGTTGCCACTGAGCTGTTCAGATAAGCTTTTACGGAAAGGTCAATAGTTCACATATTTGGATAAGTAATTCAATACAGACTAAGGCTGATGTGCGGCGGACCTAACTCTGACAGTTAACAACATTTGCGAAATCGCTAGTGGCTGGTGTCCCACTTATTACTAATCATTGAATTAAAGTGTAAAACTCCTCGAAGGTTGTTGTTCCTATGAAGTTTTAACTGACATTGTGTGTTTCTACAATTAGGGATTTTACTTTTGTTCTGTGAGTGATCTTTCAAAGACTGGAATCATCTACAAGCTGGTAGTCACTTACTCATTAATGGAATAACCTTGACTTCAATAGTTACAGATATTTATCACCAAATGTAGGTAGTAACTTATTTGGTAGTGACTAGTAGAGGAATCCAAGATGCACAGTGCATCTTATTTGGGACTCGTCGGCTGGACGTACTTGCACCTTAGAGAGCGGTGTTCTTCCCAGTGAGGCCTGAACCCAGTACCCATCGATTCAAACTTTAGAGTGTTATCCACTGAGCCAATAGACCACGATAACCACCTCGTATGCAACGGGTATCAGTTGTTGTAATGATACCTGTAATTCCCCGATTCTATCCAGGGCTAAAGGGCTCAGTCTTTGTTGGCATATGGGCTCTTATGCGGATGCCTTCATACTGCTGAATATTTATAATGTTGTTTTTCCCCAGTAGCTTAGTGGATAACTCTCTGAAGCTTGGAACGATGAACACTGGATTCTAGTCTCACTGGGGTGTAAGTACACCTATCCGACGAGTCCCAAATAGGACGAAACGCGCGTCTTGGATTATTCTGTTAGCGACAACGAAGTAACTTATCATAACAAATATTCAGATAATATAGAGGCACGTGCATAAGAGCCAATATGCCAAGAGAGTCCGAAAAATTTGATCCAGTGAAACAACAGATAATTACAAGCACATCAACAAATAGTAACATTTACCGTAAAGTATATTTGTTTCTGCAACATTTGTTCGTAAAACTTTATCATCATATGAGAATCAAATCAAGAATATCTTTAAGTTTTAGTGAAGTAAATTCTTGCATGTGATATTTGAAGGTAGATAATAAGGGTTTATTTAAATTTTGGGATAATTTCACTTACAAATACCTGAGTAGCTTAGCTACACAACGGTGATATACTGTGTCTCTTGCAGTCTCCCTAAAGGTACACTAATACGTATCTTATCCACAGCTGAAGCCACAGACATCAACGCAAGAAGACAAGACCAATGTGCTTAAAAGAAATATGTGCATCCACTTTGTTTACTCTGTTCCACAATGCGGTGGACATAAATTGCATAAATTAACCTCCCATCTCTCTCTTCTATATTGTCATTTATAGTGATAAACTTTCATTTTCTTATGTTATTAGTTTTATACCCTTTTTATTCTTACCACCACAGCTAGTTACTTTCAACAGTGACGTAATACTTTACATTTGTTATTCTCTATTTCGTTATTGGATTCACATGATTTTCACCCAGCTTGAATATAAATCATCACTGAGTAATTATTATTTGACTCTTAGTAAACAAACACATTTGTGCCCCAGTATATGTATATAAATGAATCATTATCTGTAGATTTTGTCTCATCATTTCGTGGTTGTTCTGTCAATAGTTATTTCATTGTATAACTAACACACTAGACCGATAACCATTCCTTGGTTGGATTGTGTTATCTGAGCTGGGCTATTTAATCATGGGGCTTTCATCGTCCTTCTAGACGACATCATCAACACTAACGTCAGTATGAAGTGAGCTGTCAATATCTCTCCATGAGTGATTTAGTAGCTTGACCTGACCAATTGCTTTGTGATTGGTTGTTTCTTTTGATTGTTGTGTTATTGACTGACTGCATCGATTTTCCTGTTGGCTGTTCCTCTACTACATCTCTCACCTTTCTACCGTTTATCATTTTTCTCATTGGTTGGTAGGTTGGTTCTATGTCTATACATCTAACCATAAGATAGACATGAAAACAGCCTTTAAAGTACTACATGAAAGTGGTCAGGGAGCGAGAAGAGGGGGATACGCTGGACCGCGGAAAAGAATCTAAACAATTTGGATTTCACCGATGACTTGTGTCTGATGTCACACAAACTTGAAGATCTACAGGCGAAAACTAACAAGTTGACAGAAGAGGTGAGGTAGGGCAGCGAAGACGGGACTCACTTCAAGTGTATATAGAGAAGACAGAGGTAATGAAGATACCCAACCAACAACAACAACAACAAACTCCAATCACCATCAATGGGAGAAACTTAAGGGAAGTAACCTCTCTCACCTATCTAGACAGCACTGTTTCAACTACAGGCAGCACAGGCACAGATGAGGACGTCAAAGCCAGCTAGGATCGAAAATGCAAGACAGGTCTGCGTTGATTGGCCTGAAACCAGTGTGGAGATCTTCTGCACTGCACTCAGCATGTGGAACAAGATGTGGATTTTCAACACCAATCCAGTCAAATCAGTGCTTCTGTATGGTTCAGAGACTTGGCGTCTTACGAAAGGGATTTCCTACAAACTATACACATTCATCAACAACTGCCACCTACTCTGGCTCGTTCATTACTCAAGATCAGACGGCCAGAAGGAATAAGCAACAAGCAGCTCCGGGAACGACCCAACGAAGCAAGAACCTATCACCCAACAAATATGCAGTGGAAGGAAGTGGAGATGGATTGGGCATACACTGAGAAAGCCGACTGGGGACATCACACGTCAGGCCAGTCACTCGAGTGGAATCCCCATGGGAAGCGACGAGTTGGGCGCTGGTGTCGAGGGTGACATGGAGGAGATGGTGTGAGTAAGAAATGAGAGGCTGTGGGCTGTCGTGGAGTCAGGTTCAGAAGATTTCAGAGAACAGAGTTAACTGGAGACGTGCTAGTGAATCCCTCTGTTCCATTAGGAACCCAAGGGACTGATAATAATAATAAAAGTGGTCAGAGATGAGTGCTTAAATTTATTGGAGTTCTTGCCATCCGTAAATTTAAACCCCCTTCATGTATACAAAAACAATTTGTACTCACGTTGAACCTACTTTAGTAGTATTGATTTTAATTTTTATACCAAGAGTAAGGTTGTTTTTTTCTATCCCTTCCTATTCCTATGTTTCCTATTAACTTCATTGACCTTTTTGGTAAATTTTCACATAAATAGTTCGACAAGTGCATGTGTGATCAGATTGTTCGAAATGTATAGCGTTAATACATCATATATTTCAGATAATCTTCGTCTTCTCATTACGCTGTTTAAATTTATCAAAGGGACCAGTTGCTTTAAACATCTATGGATTTCTGACTTACGTGAATGTTAAGCTTCTAGGAATTCTCTGACATTCTTTGTGTTTCCTCTCTCCGTCCAAGATTTTCACGTTGTCGAGACTGAATTCATGTCCATAGTTGTTATCCATGTGGATTGAAATGAGTGATGAAATGTCATGTGTGACGTTTAATAGCTAATTGATGTTCATGTAGACGAGGGTGACCACTTTGTCCAATGTAGTGTTAACTATAGCTTTTACAGTTGATTTTGTAAATGATGTTTGGTTTGTCTTCTTTGGTTGTTGGAATAGTAGTTGATTGTTTGACTTCTTTAGCATTGTGAATTTGATGTCATTGAAAATGTTGATGAAACTGCAAATGTTTCCTAAATCATCCTTTTAGATGATGACAAAGGTATCATCCACATAGCAAATCCAAATTTTTGGTTTGATTATATGTAAGATGATGACTTCCAGTCTCTGAATCACTGTTCCTGCAATTAATTCGGAAATCAGTGATTCCATTGCAGTTCCCTTTATGTGTTTGTATATCTTGCTATTAAGTCGGGAGTATGTTGTCAGGCCCAGGTCGATGAGTCCTATGGGACTTGAACATTTAAGTTTTGTGCCTTCTGAATGTCTTGTGTCTTCATTGAGCACAAGGGATATAATTTTCTTGGCCAATTATGATCGACTGATATGTATAATGTTGTGACATCAAAAGATGCCATTAATTCGTCGTTTTTTATATAAATGCTTTTGATCTTTTTCTAATTCCTTCGGTGATTTGATGCAATGTTTGCATGATTGAACGAGGTGTTTCAGTCCTCTCGAAAGTTCTCTGGACATGTGTGTTGGAGTTCCCGGAAGTGAGACTATCGGTTGAAGAGGGATGTCTGCCTTGTTTAGTTTTTGTCTGCCGTAAAACAGTGGAAGGACAGGTTCATTCTATTTCATTCTCCATTTGTCTTGCTTTGTTATTTCTTCTGTTTTGAAGAGTTTGTTTAAGGTTTTATTGATCTGGTTGTCAAGCATTTGGGTAGGGTTGGTTTCAAGTGGTTTTTACACATTTTCGTCTTTGAATAAATCCACTGTCTTCTTGATGTAGTCTTCCTTGTCCATGACTACAGTGGTGCACTTTTTATCAGCTGGAAATATAACGATGTCTTTCCTATTTCCATTCGATTTGATCTCCATTCCCCCATAACGCTGTCTCAACATAATAAAAATTGTACAACATGCCTTATTTTGGCTATTCTAATTCCCTTATTCTCATGGATTTATAACTTTAAGGCCCGAAGAAGAAGTTATTGCAAACAGTTGTTCGCTCAGACTATCCTTGTTTTGAATAATCTACGGGTATGTTTAAATTAATAAACAAAGACCTTCGTATAATTGAAAAACTTAATGATCTAAGCTAATTCTTTTCACTAACTGTCTACAGATAACACATTAACGCATCTTCTGTGTTTCCTGTGATGATGGATATGGATGATTTAGTTGAATACTTTAGCAAAATGCTAAATATAAGTTTCCTTTTGTTTCTTTTATATTTTCCTTGTGCTTTGAAGTTTCTTTAGCGATTCTATTGGTTTTACGCGGTAGGGTTGCTAGCCCTGCGCATAACCTTCCTTCTTTACAGGGGTTTAGGACCGGCTAGTAACTAGTGAACTAGTTAACGTCAAGTCAGTGCTGTTATATGGTTCAGAAACTTGGCGCGTCATGAAAAGCATTTCCAACAAACTGCAGACACTCACCAACAGCTGCCTACGCTCGATACTGTAGATCAAATTACGAGAATGATAAGAATAAGCAAGGAGGAACTCTGGCTGACAACGAACTAAGTAGCAACTCATTGCCCAACAAATATGCAGTAGAAGAAAGTGGAGATGGATTGGGCATACACTGGGAAGGCGATTTGGGGACATAACGTGACAGGCCAAGACAGGCCGTCGAGTGGAACCGAAATGGGAAACGACGAGTTGGGCGTCCTAGCTGAGGATGACATGAAGGAGACTGTATGAGGAAGAAATGAAAGCTTGTTGGCAGTCGAAGTGCCAGGTTGAAAAGACTTCAGAGAAGAGAGTACGATAGAGGCGTGCTAGTGAAGCCCTATGTTCCACTAGGAACCCAAGGGAATAATAGTAATAATAAACATAAATTTATGGATTCTCAAAGTTTGAAGACGGATTGATTATTCTCCTTATCCAAACGTTTCCAAACTGGTAACTTCATAGGTTTTTGAATAATTGGGGGGGGGGGGGGGAGGATAGAGAATTTTTTAGGAATACTATCTGTAACGCATTTTCGTTGCGATTTGGTTCATAGATATAAGTGGTTGACATACAACCATTAAGTTGTGGGTAGCTCCACTGTTTGTGTTTGGGCTGCCCGATGGTTTGAGCAACCCATGCACAATAGATGTGGTTAATTTTCCTGATTTCTAAAATTGCTGGGGGTCGCTTAGTTACAGTGGCATTGATATAAATCAACCCTTCTATTTTCTCTAAAAGACGGAAGTGAGTCAGATTATTCAAGTTCGGAAATATACTAAGGTCTATTTTCATTAAAAGTTCGATGCATCTCTGTCACTATTATTACGCCTTGAACAGCTCTGTAATATAGTACTTGTCTTGGATTTATCCGAAAGATGAACAGTCTAGTAGCAGTTGATTTTTTGATGCTGATCTAATTAGTTCGTTTTTATCCTATCATTAGGCTACTTTTGGCTAATAAGCTACAACACTGAAATGAGTCATTTCTAGGGAATCAACTGATTACAACTTACCTACGGAATTCAGTTGAAGAGATGATGGATACTAAATAACGCTAGACAGATGGTACTGATCAACAATTTCACATTATGTCAAACCAAAGACTATTTGCTCCTACATTGAGCACAAAACCATTCAAAATTCGTCACTTTACAACTTAACCTTTCAATTAAATCTATGTTGAAAAGCTAGACACTTGATGATAGTTGAATAACTCTAAAGATCATCCTAAAAACAACTGAAATAGCCAATTAGACTTCTTTATTTTACGAAAAAGTTACCTTTCCAGTCAAAATAGAACTTAACTGATTATTTCAGTCATTATTAAGGTGACATTTGGAGTCGTTGTCACAGTTTACAAACACCATATTTAATTAAAACAAACTTACGACATAAAGAAGTATACATCAGATGATAAATGTCCATTAAAATATATGCCAAATAGCCATACGTGTTGAAATTCTTCAGCCAATGACTTTAAATTATCTGAAATAGTGGTTGATATTATGTTAGCAATAAAATAAAATGATAATTGTACACTGAACAAACCATCTCTAATGTCAACCACTATTTAGCCTCTAGTGGTAGGTAATTTTGTTTGATTTAGAGTTGTTAGTAGTACGTTTACTACAGTTCACACTTTAGCATGGACAACCCAGGAAGAAAAACTGTGGATTCGATGAAAGTGACATCAAGCTATAGACCAGGACTTCACAACAGTTTTCTTTATTCATGAAGAGACATCCACTTCTTTTAAGTGGCTTAAACGTATCTGGTTCAATGTTCACTTTCAAACCTCTTTGAGGATTAAACTGACAGATCCAACTGATGATGAGGTTCCAATTTCGCTTCATCCAGCCATTTGGTCAGCAGTTGGATCCCGTTGGTTAGGCTAGTAGAGAATTGAATGGTGAAGACACATCGTAGTACATCTTCTAGATGTACTACAATGTGTCTTCAAAAGAAGAAAACTACTTAATAATTGTTTTCGAGAACGGCTGTTCATACGGCTGCGAAAAAGACTATATTGGTCGTAGTGATCGCCCACTCCATATCAGTCTAAATGAACATCAACTAGCAGTGAAGCGTTATGACATATCTTTGCTCTTATTAATGCTTATGGACAACTGTGGACATCAAATTTGACTAGTAAAATATGGAAACTCTGAATAGAAGAAATGGAAAGAATGCCAGAGAATTTCTAGAAGCATGATATTCAAGTTACTCATCAATTAAGACACACTGACATTGACTCAATCCATCAACCAATTTCAGGTCATCAGGACAACCAATCAAAATAAACATGAAGACAACGACAAGACCTTATCAGAAACAACCAATCACACACAAGGCCATCAGGACAAGCTACCAAGCAACTTGTGAAGAAAACAATCTAGTTTGCTTCTTTCTTAAATTTGTGCTGATGATGTTGTCTAGAATGATGGTGAAAGCTTCACGATTCAACCACCCAACTCAGGGAACATAAAACCATCGAAATTATCTTCTTGAGCTACAAATATTCGCTTTCATCATCCTTATAGACAACAAGATCACCATTAATTTCAATATAAAGTCAGGATTTCCGCATGAGTGGTTCAGTGGCTTGCCCTAACAAGGTGGCTTGTGATTAACAGTTTTCTTAGACGGCTGTATCATTGATTGGGTAGATTTTCCTATTGGCTGTTCCTCTGCCTGACCTCTGATCTTCTAGTTGTTTACCATTTTTCTTGTTATTTGATAGGTTGGGCCTATGCAAACACATCTTTTGATTACTGACTGACTTGAAGTCGAAGCCTCTAGGAATTTTTGATATGCTTCGTGTTTCCTCTGTCCAAGATCTTTACTTTTTCGAAATTGAATTCAGATTCATAGTTGTTCACATGCAATGTTACGAATGCATGTTCGTTTAATCACCAACCGATGTTCATGCAATGGAAGACTAAGGGCATGACCACTTTGTCCGATACAGTGCTGGTCGTGGTTGTTACACTTGATTTCGTAAATGATATTTGGTTTGTCTTTTTTTGGCTGTCGCACCCTTTAGCTTACATAATATGATTTGAATGACACTGTTTGGTTTATGAGTCACATCAATTCCAAACGGTCTCAGTATGTTTGCCCTAGTCTGTGATATGTTCTTTGTATAAGGTAGGATGTCCTGTTTGCTGATATTCGTCGACGACTTCATCCTTGATGATGAATTGAAAAGGCATGTTCTGATGAAGTTGCTTGCGTAACTGTTCTTCTTTAAACTATACATTAAATAATTTCCTTCATTTGTGGTACTACTGTGTGCTACGGCCCATTTGAATAGAGTCGACACGCAACTAATTATGTGCTTTGTTGAGTTGTTGCTATTATTGTTGAGCATCTGATCACTGTCTGTTGATTCCCTGTACATTTCACTTTTCACTTTCCCCACATTATTTCTGCTGGCTAATGCATCTACTGCACTCAGCACAAAGAACGAGATCCGGATTTTCAACACCAATATCAAGTTAGTGCTTATATATGGTTCAGAGATTTGGCGCGTTACAAAAAGTATTTCCAACAAACTAAAGACATACATCACATCAACAGCTGCCGCCTACACTCACTCGATAACGAGATCACATGGCCAGAATAATAAGAATAAGCAACTCTGGCTGACAACGAACTAACCAATAACTCATTGTCCAACAAATATGCAGTTGAAGAAAGTGGAGATGGATTGGGTATACACTGAGAAGACCATTTGGGGACATCACGTACCAGGCCATTAGGTGGAACCCAAATGGGAAACGACGAGTTGGGCGTTCTAGGCGAGGGTGACATGGAAGAGGCGGTGTGAAGAAGGAATGATGCTTGTTGGCAGTGGTGCAGCCAGGTTAAAAAGACTATAGATTAGAGAGTGCAGTGGAGACGTGCTACTGAAGCCCTATGTTCTACTAGAAATCCAAGGGACAAATAATAATGATAATAAAGACATCCAGAAACAGCAGTTGTTTATTTGATTGCTTCGCTACTGTGAATTTGATGTCAGTGAAAATGTTTTTGATCAAACTGTAAGTATTTGCCAATCCAACCTTTTTAATGATAAAAAAAAGGATCCTCCATATAGCGGATCCAAATTTTCCGTTTGATCACATGTAGAATAATGGTTTCTAGTCTCTGATTTGCTATGCCTGCAATTAATCCAGATATATGTGATCCCATTGAAGTTCCTTTCATGTGTTTGTATATACTGCCATGAAATTGCAAGTATGTTGTCAGACAAAGGTCAATGAGTTCCATCAGAAGTGAACACTTAAGTTTTGTACATTCTCAGAGCCTCATTTCTTTGGTAAGAAGGAGAGACAGCATACTTCACCAGTTGTAGTTCAATTGATTTGTATTATGCTGTGACATCGAAGGAAACCATTAAATCATTGCTGTTCATGTTAATACTTTAGATGCTTTTCGAAAATCCTGTTGGCGGTTTGGTGGAATGTTTGCATAACTCCGCAACGTATTTCAGTTTCCTCGAAAACTTTCTGCACAGACTGTACGTTGGAGTCTTTGGAAATAAGACTATTGGTGGTAGAAGAGTTTCTGGTTTCTTTAGTTTTGTAAAATCTATGAAACCAAGGATACAACAACCAAAGAAAACCACCAATCACAAAAGCATTTCATCAGCGCAAGCCAATGATTCACCCATACAGAGATCCTGATACCCTACTTCATATTGAAGTTAGTACTGATAATTTTATCTAGAAAGACGATGAAAACTTCACAAATTAACAAAACTTACAGCTTAAAGAAAGCTACACAACCAAGTTATTACGTATAAGCCAACTTTTCCAACATATCTATTGACTGAGCAAATAACATTTATAGTATTTGAAGAACCAATCACCTTTCATTTGAGGTGTATTAATTTTGTTGTCCTTTTGAAGTGAAGGCAGGAGTAAAACAAGACTATCTACTATCACCCATGATATTCCTTATTGTAGTGGACGGGACTGGATCATGCAACAAATAGTGAGGAGCGAAAAGAGGGGGATACGCTGGCTGGACTGCGGAAAAGAACCTAGGAGATTTGGATTTCGCCAAGGATGACTTGTGTCTGATGTCACATAAACTTGAAGATCTACAGGCGAAAACTAACAAGTTGACAGAAGAGGTGAGGTAGGGCAGCGAAGAACTGAATTGACAGACCTTTGTTGACATATTTGGTCCCGTAAAGATGTCTCGAAACAACCAGCGATGTTCATTTTAACAGTAAGCTTGATTGGTGGTTAGCGCTAGAACTCAGAGCACGCATTTCATTCTATTTGGGACTCATCATTTTCATATACTGGCAACTCAGTAAGTTATGGTGTTCTTATCGATATTTATGAGTGATACGTCTTATGCTGTCTTATTACATTTCTGTTATATCACCATAAAATACTAATAAGTTTTGATTTCTGTCAGACATCTTCATTGGGCAAACAGATCATCAGGTGGTGACTGGTGTGAATTTCAAGCCTTCAGTTTATGGAAGTAACTGGAGACTATCGGCCACGTTTGCAAGCTAAAAGTCACGACAGTGTGTTGTATTGTATTTTGGTGTTAAGTATTTGAAGTCTAATAACAGGGAATCCTTGACTCAGCTTTTAACCAGTGGCGAGCATTTACGACTTGAAATAAGCAACGTTTACCATCTGAAGACCTATTCGTCTATACTGACAGCGACAGTATTGACTTGATTAACTCACTAGTAAAGTTGCTTGCTTCAGCACTGAATGTCACTCGTTCAAATTTTTGGAACAATATTCGTTTCCTTATGGTTTCCAGGTGTATTTCGCTGATAAGTACTCACCAGGGTGAAACCTAGATATAGAACATCTTGTCAGTTGACTTGTAACATTGGATATCAGAATATCTCTCCTTTAGGTGAATTCAGGTACCCTGCGAAAATGAATCAGTTAGTAAGTGTATTACAGATATAAAAACGTTCGATACTTTTTTATTTTAGGGTTGGTATTCGTTATAGTCTGATATCGGTTGGGGGGGGGGGAGGGGGACACTGGAAACTTGGGAGCACAGAACATCTATTTCGTCCTAGTGTTGGGCTCTTCAGCAGTGCGCACCCGTGGTTTCGTCAAGAATTCGACCCAGAACCTTTAGGTTCCATGGCCAGTACGTTACAATTAAGGCACAGGGTTGGAATTAAATGGTTCATACCCCATCTTTATGTCAGTGCACCATATAGCGCTATTTCCATCTGATGCCGCCGTCGGTTATCTGTCATTAAATCAGTTAAACAGGTGTAAACATGTGTTTTGCATTTCACCATTGGTGATCATAAGAGAACCAACGTATCTGACGTTGGACTGAGTATAAACTCACTTGTTAACTTATATCCATGTAGCAGTATATGTGCTGCAATAATCCAGATCATTGATAAAAATCGAATTCCATCAAGAAATGTAAGGGATATACTATTTGATCCATCATCTTTCTCAGTATCTTCTTTAATGTGTTGTGCATATAGTTTGACAGAGTTTATTGGGAGTGAAAAAGCACAGACAACATTGATTGGAGGATACCTCTCTAGGATAGCTTAACAAAAAGAATAAAGATACGAAAAAAGGATATTTTGACAGATAGAAGAGTTTATTGATCTTGATGTTGGTTAATGGCTAGCAGTCGGATACAGGAGGTGATAATATATATCATCATTTACATTAAAACTGAAAATACCAACAATATCAATGTATGCCAGTGGTGACCGACAGAAATTATATTCAATCAACGACGGAGATTCAGACATTGTAACATTGATAAACGTTTATTAGTCGCTGCACTGTACCATTGGCTGATTATAAGATTTGACTCACAGATATCTTTGTAGCATTGCTCAAGTTTGGTGGATGCAGTGTTGAGGTCAAACGGAAGGTAGAAGGCAAGAGAGGCAAGTCGACTTATGAGGTAGTGAACTTTAGCCCACTGAGATGGCTTGGACATGTACTATGCCTTCTGCATCACCGCCTGCCTCGATGTACTATGCTAGAGGAAGCTGGATTAGGTTGAAAGAGGGTTCAGAGTGACTAGACCAAAATGTGGTACCAGTCTTACTGCCGACTTGAGTCGTGTAGGGCAATTTAGACTAACTGATTTGGGTCCCTGTGATGAAAGGAATCAGTCATTGAGAACTTTTGGTAACATGGCTGAAATTTGGTCGACATTTTGCAGATATCTTTTAGAGCTTGAATATTTGCACCAACCTTTATCTTCAGATTGTTTGTTCTCGCAAACAACTTTGTCTACCTTGATGTCAGTCTTTTTCTGTCCACCTTTTCTTTATGTACTACTTGAGCCGATGCACTTGTGTGCGAGGCTCAACACTGAGCTTATCAGAGTCAGTCACCAAATCACCAAAAGTGTAGATTTTAAAGTAAGAAGTCGTTTGTTTCTTTACAATATTCACAGTCATATATGAAACATGTTCAGTGTATCTCATAATGTTCCATTATAAGCAAACAGACTACTGAAATACATAATATGAGCACTATAATGTGGTGTTAACTACCGCCTACAGAGGTTAACAGCACACGCTAGCCAGATCTACGTGAATCAAACACTGAACTGAGATTTTACTGGTTTGATATCGAAGTGATTCTTTCAGGTCACTGCATTTTACCTATGAATACATTAATTCGTACTAATTAATGAAGAGAATTATTTTTAACTATTTCTTTTTGTAGAAAAGAAGTATTTTGCAGATGTGACGCTGCAAGAAAGCTTCTTAAATGAATTGCCCACGTAGAATTTTAGCTTGTTTTTTAAGCAACCTGAAATCAAGCTGTCTAACTCCTACTGTCTGGATCATGCAACAAACAGTGAGGAGCGAAAAGAGGGGGATACACTGGACCGCGGAAAAGAACCTAAACAATTTGAATTTCGTCCATGACTTGTGTCTGATGTCACACAAACTTGAAGATCTACAGGCGAGAACTAACAAGTTGACAGAAGAGGTGAGGTAGGGCAGCGAAGACGGGATTCACTTCAAGTGAATATAGAGAAGACAGGTGACGAAGATACCCAACCAACAACACCACCACCACCACCAACAACAACAACAAACTCCAATCACCATCAATGGGAGAAAGTTAAAGGAAGTAACCTCTCTCACCTATCTAGACAGCACTGTTTCAACTACAGGCAGCACAGGCACAGATGAGGACGTCAAAGCCAGCTAGGATCGAAAATGCAAAACAGGTCTGCGTTGATTAGCCTGAAACCAGTGTAGAGATCTTCTGCATTGCACTCAGCATATGGAACAAAATGTGGATTTTCAACACCAATCCAGTCAAATCAGTGCTTCTGTATGGTTGAGAGACTTGGCGTCTTACGAAAGGGATTTCCTACAAACTATACACATTCATCAACAACTGCCGCCTACTCTGGCTCGTTACTAAAGCTCAGATGGCCAGAATAATAAGAATCAACAACAAGGTACTCTGGCTGGCTGGCTGGCAACGAACTAACCAAGCACCTATCACTCAACAAATATGCAGTGGAAGGAAGCGGAGATGGATTGGGCATACACTAAGAAGGCTGACTAGGAACATCACGCGTCAGACAGTTGAGTGGAACCCAGATGGGAAGCGACGAGTTGGGTGTCCGAGGTGAGGGTGACATGGAGGAGATCATGTGATGAAGAAATGAGTGCTTGTGGGCAGTCGTGGTGCCAGGTGCTAGTGAATCCCTATGTTCCATTCCGAACCCAAGGGACAAGTAGTAATAATAATAACTCCTACTGTATGATAATAGAAAGTTCATAAAATAGGTGGTTGGTCTACTCCGCTGATTACTGAATATAGCCTAGTTTGAAGTTGATGCTGATGATGTCGTCTAGAAAAACGATGGAAGCTTCACGATTAAGCAACCCAGGTCAGAGAATACAATACAACCAATAGCCTAGTCTTGATTTATCCATCAATCGTATTCCCTTATACGTAGATAATAGTGTCATTTTTCATAAAATGTAATGACAGTTAGATGTGACTTTTGTTTTGTTGGCAGTCATCGTGCATCTTTTTTAATCATCATTACCGACTCCTACAAGTTGGGTGTTTTTGCTTTGTCTCCCTGTTTTTTTTTGTCATTTTATATTTCACACGCTTGACCTAGTTATATGAATCCTACTCACATCACCTCCTAGTGAACTTAAATCTTATGATCTTCTTCCGCACATTTTGTGTAAGCTTTCTTGATACCCTGAATACACTTGTCCTCCCCTATCCTCTTATCTAACTCCCAATCTAGAATATCCACCTAATCATTGTATACATTGACAAACTTAGCTCTACATATTTATTCACTCAATTCGTGTGTTCTCAATTACTTCATATCGATGGTATATTCAGTTGAAGCCGACGATTTTTGTGTCAAGCTGATTTTAGTATCCAAACATTTTGTATAAACTGGTGTTCGTATTGTTTTAGGTTGTAAGCAGGTGATGAGAAACCATGAAATGAAATGAATCCATGCTATTCTGCTAAAGCTGTTGTTCTTGCTCCACTGAAATCTCAGAGATACAGTTGTTATTCAGGGTGTAGGTCACTGTTCCTTAAGAGGTGTGTTGTAGAACAACTATATGCGAATTCATATTCTTTATTAAACGGAACAGTGACTAAACTTTCGTTTTTAACGATCTCATTTCGCGAAACTGTATAATCATACCAATCAGTTATGGAAACATGAATCTACCAATAATCAATGAAGTTGTATGATTAGCATAGCGTCAAATAGTTATTTCAAAAGACAAACAATATCACTAATTCGATCACTGCAAAGTTGACGAGTAAACGCATTGCTCTTGAACATAAAAATTCAGTTTAAGGTTGCTAATTAACAATGATTCGATTATGCGTAGATGACACGGTCAAAGCCCTTTGAAATTAGAAACAGGTTCTCCATCAATGAATTTGAAGGGATTATTGAGAGAGTCAGATGTGCTGAAACGACATGTTCAAGAACCGAACAACTGATATTATTTTTCTCTCCCCGATTTAACCGAGCTGAAAAATGTTCCACAATACGTTACCAGACTTGATGTTGTGTGCAGCCAATGCACACTTCTCCTCAGGAACAGGCCGACTGATAGATACACACTGAGGTGATCAAAAGCGGTGTTCTATCGCTAATTGTCTACTACAGAATGTGGTTCTCAAGCCGACTATGAGAAATATCTTTTTTAATGATCTTGAGAAGTGAATTTTCAGGATTTTAACCACATTATTGCCTATGAATTTCAGGTTAACGTGGATAGTTTTCTCTGACAGCCGACAACTTTTGTAATCCCGGCTTTTCTTTCACCTATGAAGTTGATATTCATCATGGACTGAAATCAGTTGGACAGCCATTCGAAACTTGGGGACACTGAACATCTGTTTTGTCTCATGGTGGGACTTCTCAGCAGTGCACACCCTCTACTCCACCAAGGGTCGAACCCAGAACCTCCAGGTTCCGTGGCTGACAAGTTATCATTGAGCACCTAGAGCAGGATGTGATGGTTCTGTCAGTTCATGATGTAGCGTGACTTGTATCCAATGCTGTCATTGACTAATTGTCCTCACGTCTGACTTGCTTTTCCTCGTTTTTCACGGCTTTTCATTAGAACTTCGGGAATCTCATCTGGAAGCAAGTCACTGATGAACTTAGATGGGCATCTATTTTCCAGCCCGATATTACGCAGAAATTTTAAACCACTGTCTAGTTTATCTTCAAAACAGGTCTTCGAAACTCTTAAACATATGGCATCTACGCGGTTTCTTTATCTAATGAAAGACATAACTTTGGACCACGGCCGGATTCGAACCACCGGCTTCCCGGTTTCCAACCCAATGCTCTACCAACTGAGCTACGAGGTCTTTGTGGCCAGAAGATTACAACTAAACAACGGGGTCGAAATCCAATGGTCCATATCACCTACTAATGTGGAGTCCTATGAAAGGATGAAACATCTGTCCAATGCTCCCAGATTTCCAACGTTCCTCCAACTGATGTCAGTCCATGATGAATTCCATCCTAAAGTTAATTGATAAATCTCCACACTCCGGTTAGAAATCTTATTATAAAAGAAATGGCAAAGTTAGAAAAAAGGCATTCATCTATGCATAATATGTTCTTCGCGAAGTGCTTTGCAAATATCTACACGTCAATAAAAAGAAAATTCATTCAATGACATCAAAAACTTGTTAATGCTCGTCTATCTTGTAAAAACTGTATGATAATAAATAGGCATGTCATTCATAATTTCAACTACTTATTGGTTTTCCTATTCTGTAAATTAAGTGAATTAAGTTGCATACCATCGCATGAAAAATTATTCAATAAGATACTATTATTATCCTTTCTATCTGAATGACTGCAAAAGTGTATTCTTCAAACTTGTCACTAGACATTGAACAGTAGTGGATAATTCCACTTTGTAGGCGACATTTTTTATATCCTATATTAGGCAAAAAGAAAGCCTGTACAGTCAGGCGTAACATAGGGGTTTCAAGGTTGACCGCGCAACTGGTACTCACCAAGGCAATGGAAAATTCGTTCAT